GCAGGATTGTGGCAATGGGAATTCACCAGTATATAGGATGAAAATAAAGAAGAATATAGTGTTCTCTGCATAGCTGAGATAAAAGTAATACAAGGAAGTATGACTCACATAAGGAAAGTAAAAGTAGGTTTTGTTCGATCTCAGCATAGGTGGAATCTTCCCCACCAAGAAAGTAAAAGTGTGATTCCTCCAGTTAACATTTTCAAGGATAAACTATGGAAGATCCAAGTGTAGTAAAAAACTAGTTTTATTCATAACAAAAATAACAAAACCAATATACAGCATAAAAACACTAACTCCTCCTTAATTTCCCCCTGGGACTCGGTTAATTAATGTATCCCATGTTATGAGAGTCAAGTAATTGGTCAGGAGAGTCGAGTCGACGGTCTTTCCTCGGTGGGCTTGTAGCCTTGCCGTGATAGGATTCCTCAGGTGGAAGGCTGGTGAAGGCAGAGGTGAGCTGGCCCAGGTCCTTGCCGAGTAACAACTCTGTGGGTAATTCCTTCCTTACAATGCTGGACCCTGTGCCCCAATCCAGGTGTACTTTTGGTATGTGGAGCTGATAGATAGCTTCCCCTGCTACTTGGAAAGCCATTTAGTATCCAGTCTCTTCATCTCCAGTTAGCCTGGACCAAGGTGAGGGTAGCTCCTGTATCCCTTAGTCCTTGACCCTGCCACCCATTTAGCATCACTGTTTATTTGTTATGTTGTCAATTATCCAGAGCTGCTGTTTTAATAGAAACAGACTACTGCAATATACCCACACTTCCTTGGTGTTGCAAGACTCAGTGCTTCCGTAGGCAGGACTGGAGATAGGGGTAATTTTGGTCTGGACACAGTTGCATTGGGGCCGAATCTGGAACAGGCTGTTGATCGATGTTTCAGCTTGCAATTATTGATCAGGTGCTCCACTTTGATTCTTCCATAGTAGCGAGGTCTGGTTTTAGGTGCTGGGTAAGGCAATAGCATCTGAGGTCCTGGTCAAGATTGGGACTGTACTCCAGCACTTGCAGTCTCTGAGTTGTGATAGACAATGGTGCTGGCCGGTCGCCTCTCCTGGTAATCATTTGCCAACTTTGCAGCTTCTAGCAGAGTGAGCATCCAGAGATCTCTCACCCAGTCCCGCACCTCTTGTGTCACTGAGCTGTAGAATTCCTATAACAGTAGTTGTAGCACATCTGCCACAGCGGTAGCTTGGCAGTCTTGTATCCAATTTATTGCTGCCCTGTGGAGGTGGCAGCCCTCCCTCCTAGTTTCCGAATCTCGTCCATGATGGTCCTTGGCCGTTAGATTCGGACCACAGAATGCCAGTTGTTGAAAGTCTGTCTCATCCGAAGAGAAGTTGGTGGACAAGTTGCTGTCCCAGTCTCCCTCCAAGAGTGCTGCAATAAATGTGGTTTTAGGTTTATTGCTGAAGATCTGTGCTCTTATTCCAGACCTTTCTTCAGCAGGTTTCTCTTTAGTTCTTACAGCACCGCTCCACACCTTCTGTTGTGGATCACTGATCATAGATTTTCCTCTGAGCGTATCCACAGAGCGAGAGAGGAGATATCTTCGCTGCCACCAGATATAACGGAGCTCAGCACTCCGCTTATGTGTCTCCATCATGGGCCCCTCTCTTTCGGCACTGGATACCTAGAGTGATTATAGCTGTCTCACCTAAAAGGTGAGACTTAGTGAAGGGTGAATAAGAACTGCTTTATGGAGAACAAGGCACACTTTAATACACACAACCAACAGGGTGTCCATGATTTGAACAATGAAAATCCCACCGTGATGCTTCTCAGTCTGGGAGATAAATAGATCCGTAACCTCTAAGTTAGTTAATCATTTCCCTGGCCTCAGAGTGCCATTACAATATATTGAATATTAGCCGATTTCTGATCTAATGGAAAGTTCCATACAGTCAGCTAAAAAGCTTGCTGCTTTCTCTGTGAGGCTCAGTCACTGGATGGGTTTGATGTGCAAGCGCTTTTCTGGGCAATATCTCTCAACTAGGGAGTTTCTTCAGCCTCCCCACCTTTCTGAGTTTTACACCAGTCTACCACTGACAAACTCAGGGTATCATTGTGCAGCAGCAGGAGAGAGATCTGCACGACCACACCGATCAGACTCCCTATCTTCTCCTCTGCAAGGTAAAGAGATCTTCCAAATACCCATATGTAAATCGGTCAGGTATGACCAAAGCACCTTTTCAGCATTCCTAGGGATATAACACTGATTGTTTAGATCAGGTAAATGTAAAGTCATGCATTTTAGAATAAGGAATCCACAAGCAACTTATACATAAAACAATGATGAATTAAAGGTAACATTAAGTGGAAAAAAAAAAAAATGACTTGTGAATAATTATAGAGGAAAAAGGTATTATACCCTGGTTGTGGTTCGACATATAAACCTCTATATAGGTAGTAATTTTGACGATCTCTGCATTATTATTCAGCCATGTCTAGTCATTTTAATTCTCAGCATTATGAGCTGGAGTTCAAAGTATTTATGGGTTTTTGAAGAACCTTGTCACTAGTGTAGTTAAACATGAATTGCAGCATTTATATTAGTTTGGTTTTTCATTTCACTTATTGCTCAATTAGCCCACTGAATTTCAGCTAGATGTTTTTAGCAGGAGTGTGCTCTGTGACTTGTTATCTACTCGCTAGAAATCCCCTTTGCTGGATAGCTCGTTGCCTTGTAGCCCGAGCTCCCTGTTGTCGGTACCAGGGACAAGCAACTTTTGGCACTCCAGAGGTTGTGGACTACATCCCCCATAATGAAGGTTGCCTATGCTTGGTATATACAATATGGACACGGCCTCCGGTTTCCATAGGAATGCCCCATAGTGACATCTTGACTCTGGTTGTGATGACGTCATCGGGGTCAAGTAGTAACCCGGGCAGGCTCTAGTAATGGGCGGTTGCAGCTAGCACCCTCTCACTTATTGGGTAAGTGTACATTGGTGATGGGTATATACACAATTGTTTTTTAAGATGTTATTTTATCCTGATTAAAGTTTGGGTTTCAAACTGAAACGTCGATCTCTTAACTGTGGACATTAAAAGTCAAGTTTTACATTGAATAACTTAGAGTCCTGGGAGTGCTCTCTCTACACCACATATATATTTGTCTCTGGGTTGTTGCGTTCAACCCCCCCTTGCTGCAGACATCATGTCTTATCTCTGCCAATGTTTACATTAGTCGCATTCCTTAGCTCAGGCTTGAGTGAATAGAGTACGGGGAAAAAAGTGTATCTTTGCATTGTGATACAAGATGGAATCACCTCATCTGATGGTGACTTACAGCACACGCTTTTAATTTCTGTCTTAACACAAAATGTCTGCCAGTATAAACATACTGACAGTGTCTGTCTATGAGTGTGTGTGTGTGTGTGTGTGTGAGAGAGAGACACATAAGGGGAGCAAAATGGATCTACGCCTAGCGCGGCAGAAATCTTTGCACCAAACAAATCAGGCCATCCATCACATATCTCCCCCCATAGAAATAGACAGACTTGTGGCCAGACCCACAACGGGCCTGCAACAAGTCTGTTGGAACCCCACTCCCCCCGCCCAAATCCACAGTCCCTAGTCTCTTTGTGTGTGGGCAAAACGGTATCCATTCTCCCCTCTCCCAGGGCACAATCAGGCCAAGGAAAAACACAAGGGGATCCCACAAACAATATATTGTTAAATAGCCCTGATCTGAGTGCCCCATTTCTCCAAATAGCGCTCAATTCCATGCAGTATAGTTAGGTCCCCTATCCTGCTACATATATAATAACTCCCAAACAGTGTCTCACACCTGGACCATAGTCAGTGGGCAGGATACCCAGCTTCTACACTCCTCCAGGAGTACGTGGCAAACAAACGTGGGAAGAGGCGTTTGTCACAGCCACCTTGAATGTGAGTTGCAGCATTGGGCACCAGTTTTAAAAAAATAAATAAAAATAATATTGCCGAACTAGAGAGTGCAGAACTGAGCTGGAAAATGTATAGGGGGTGGTGGTGGACAACATTAGTTATGAAGAAAGGCTAGAAGATTGCATTTTGAACTATTTCTTGCTCTGGATCCCTGCACCTGCAAGGTAAGTACACTTACTGTCACACTCAGATTATATCACTGGGACATTAAGGACTAAAATAAGGGTTATGTTTAGGGAGCAATTTATTATTTACAGATTACAGATACCAGGAAAAAAAATAAAATTACAACCATGTCCAGGGTTAAATTGGTAGTATAGGCATCATAACAACTTGACCTAAATTGAGTTATGGTTCCAGGATGCCCCCAGGCACATTCTTACCTTCTGGGGTTAAGACATTTACCTTTTCCAAGCCAGTTTTGTGAATCAGGAGTCACGGATTGGCTGAGATCATCAAGTGACAGCTCTTAGAGGCGCCTTTAGCTGGCGACTCTCCACGCTTCCAGAGTCTGAAATTTCATATGCCACCGGGCAAGGAGCCGGATCAGAGCTTGAGGCAATTTCAGGGTTAAAACAACAATTTAACAACTGAAGGTAGGAATGAACCCAGTAGACTCCTAGCACCATAACAACTTCATTCAGATTAAAGTTGTTTTGGTGCCTGTAGTGTTCCTTTAATTTTAACCTTACTTCTAGGGTTAGAATAAGGATGGACAGGATATATTAACCCTAATTTTATCCCTTAAATGTCCCAGTGCGGCAATGAACCCCCAAATATAATCTGAGTGTGACAGTAAGTGTACCTACCTCGCCGAGCAGCCTTTCCAGACACAGGGAGCCCGAGGGAGACGATTAGTGAGCTGTGAGGGGAAACACGGTGTGACAGACCCGGTGTCCAGCCGCTCACACTATGTAAACACGGGCTCGTCTCTGTGACTACGGCAACAACCCAAAACCTCGCCAGTGATCACGTGACCCCGACCCTTGCTACTTTGCATTGGCGCCTTTATTCAAATCTTGCGTGATGACGTCGGAGAGCGCGTCGAAGCCACGTCGCGGCGGGTTCATTACGCCTGCGCGCAGAGCGGCAAGATGGCGGACAGTGCGGAACTGAAGGTAAAGCGCAGCTGGAATTGCGGGCCCGGGATCCCGCCCTGGATTTCTCGCGGGGAGTCGAGAAGTTTGGGTTAGGGGGGTCGAGGGAGCAGTGATCTCAGGGAGACGGGCACCGGAGCCCGGCGGGGTGATATCGGTGTGCGGGTGAGGAGGGCGCTTAATGTTATTGTTGGTACTACATGGGGGGGGGCGGGGGGTGAGTGGGGGCTGGGATCTCCATAGACACCCGCTGAGAGGAAGTAGATTACCAGTTTAAGGAGAGGGAGGGAAGTCGGCACCGACCCCATAGACAGACACTGTGAGATGACGGCAGGAGACCATGGCGACCATTTATACTGACACTGGAGACCTGACAGCGGCCTGAGTGGTAATCCTGCTGGCTGACTGCTGGGGGAGGGGGGGGGGACCCCGACTGGCTGACTGCTGGGGAGGGAGGGGGGGACCCCGACTGGCTGACTGCTGGGGAGGGGACCTGACCGGCTGATCAAGCTGGGGAGGGAGGGGGACCCCGACCGGCTGACCGCTGGGAGGGGACCCCGACCGGCCGGATCAAGCTGGGGAGGAGGACCCGACCGGCTTCGACTGCTGGGGAGGAGTAAAATCCCGACCGGCTGACCGCTGGGGGAGGGCGGACCCGACTGGCCGACTGGACCCCGACTGGCTGACTGCTGGGGAAGGAGGGGGGACCCCGACTGGCTGACTGCTGGGGAGGGAGGGGGGGACCCCGACTGGCTGACTGCTGGGGAAGGGGGGGACCCCGACTGGCTGACTGCTGGGGAGGAAGGGGGACCCCGACTGGCTGACTGCTGGGAGGAGGGACCTGACTGGCTGACTGCATGGGGAGGGAGGGGGACCCGACTGGCTGACTGCTGGGGAAGAGGGACCCTGACTGGCTGACTGCTGGGGGAGGGGGGGGGACCCCGACTCGGCGGACTGCTGGGGAAGGGGGGACCCCGACCGGCTGACTGCTGGGGAAGGAGGCCCCTGACTGGGGGGAGGGGGGGACCCCGACTGGCTGACTGCTGGGGAAGGAGGGGGGACCCCGACTGGCTGACTGCTGGGGGAGGGAGGGGGGACCCCGACTGGCTGACTGCTGGGGGAGGGAGGGGGGACCCCGACTGGCTGACTGCTGGGGGAGGGAGGGGGGACCCCGACTGGCTGACTGCTGGGGAAGGGGGGGGGACCCCGACTGGCTGCTGATACTTTCATTTTCCCAGTCTGAGATGGGAGCACTTGTGGTTATCTAGAGACCAGCTGACTTTGTTTCTGTATCTATGTGTGGACAGGAAGGCTAGCCTGTAGCACTGTTACTCCTCTTTATTAGTAGTTCAACCAAACTGCTTGGACATTATCTTCTAGACCAGTCCATGTTTGATTTCTTAGCACTCACTTCCACCTTCCCTCCCCCTCCATCCTTTCTCCTCTCACCTCCCTTGTACCATGTTCTCCCCTCCCCCCATCCTTGGCTCTGCCTGTCGGTTCCTATCTCCCACCTCTTATCAGGACACTGGGTGGATGGTGGTCGGGAAAAGCGTGAGTGCTATGTCTTTCTTTTATCCTACTGTTTGAGGGGATTGTTAACACGCGATGAGTCTACCTTCTTATAGAAAGTTCCTTTTAGTGGTTACTGGGTTAAGGATGTTGGGGTATGTTGTATAAAGTGTGTGTGTGTGTGTGTGTGTGAGAGAGAGATGACGAATAGTCAGACAGTATCTGGTTTACTTTGTTTCCCGCTAAGATTCATTGAAGGCACTGTTTTTTTTGTTTTGTTTTTTTTTTTGTTTTGTTTTTTTTTTCTTTTGAAGTCCGAATGAAAATTAAACTACATGTGTGTGTTTATAGCTAGTACTCTGTATCCAGGCAACACATTTTTGTTTTAATTTTTGGATTTCTTTTAATAATTTAGAATTTGTCCTAAAATGGCATATTCAAGGTTTGTATTTTGTTGTTCTTGCACTGATCATGAGTCTTTAACTTTTATTACAGTTGGACGTTATGATGTCGGTATTTAGGTGGCTTCATCTCTAGTGTCATTTATATATCAGGTGATTAACTATGTAAATAGTTCTATTGCCTTTTTATATTACACTTTCGTTTTTTATTGTACATAACTTGGTCAGCTGCTGTCTAATCACTGAAATCAGAACAAGAATCTGGAAGACACTGTCAATGCATTGTGCAATCTTGTTGTCCTTTATAACATGGTTCATGTCCAGGATGAGTATACTAACTCTTTTGAATTCTTTAAGGGATGATGTTGCATAGAACGAGTGCATGAGCCACATGGTGAAGTGTTGTAGGAAAAAGGCTCTCACAGTGCCATAGCCATTGAAGGCTCTTATTAAATCCTCTTTTTTTGTATTCCAGTTTTTGAATATTTTAGTGCATTAAGAATCTTGAGAACTTGCGATATGTGGAATATATGGTAATGGTGACACGCAAAACAGAATTTAAGTGCAGTTCTACCCCTGAAATGTTATAAAACAAATACAAGTCATCTATAAATATGTGCATGATGTGGTGTCATCGTATCAGTTCTGCTGTCAAAACTACCACAAAATATACGTTAAAATATATTTGATGTTTTTCTGTTGCTTGGTCTGAAATAACCAGAAAAGTGAGCATGTATGCTCCCTGAACAATCCACACAAATCTACAAGGCTATGTCAAATTCTACTTACTTTCTTAATATTTTTGGGAAGACATCTGCAGGGTTTTTGTCTAGTGAGGTATGTGTGTGTGTGTGTATGTGTATGTGTGTGTATATATATATATATATATATATATATATATATATATATATATATATATATATATATATATATATAGTGTGTGTGTGTTTTAGTTTTTTTTTTTTTCTTAAAGGGACACTATAGTCACCTGAACAACTTTAGCTTAATGAAGCCATTTTGGTGTATAGAACATGCCCCTGCAGCCTCACTGCTCAATCCTCTGCCATTTAGGAGTTAAATCCCTTTGTTTATGAACCCTAGTCACACCTCTCTGCATGTGACCTGCACAGCCTTCCATAAACACTTCCCGTAAAGAGAGCCCTATTTAGGCTTTCTTTATTGCAAATTCTGTTTAAGATTTTATTATTCCCTGCTATGTTAATAGCTTGCTAGACCCTGCAAGAGCCTCATGTATGTGATTAAAGTTCAATTTAGAGCTTGAGATACAAATTAAATTACATCTGTTTGAAAGTGAAACCATTTCTTTTTTTTTTTTTTTTTCATGCAGGCTCTGTCAGTCATAGCCAGGGGAGGAGTGGCTAGGGCTGCATAAACAGAAACAAAGTGATTTAACTCCTAAATGACAGTGAATTGAGCAGTGAAATTGGAAGGGAATGATCTATACACTAAAACTACTTTTATTTAGCTAAAGTAATTAAGATGACTATAGTGCTCCTTTAATATGTGCCATAGATGTTATGGTTTAAAATGAACATGTTTAAATCGAACTGTATACAACTGTGTCATGCTCTGTGCCTTTTTTTTTTTTTTTTGACAGTAAAGTAGCATTAAAGGACCACTATAGTGCCAGGAAAACATACTCGTTTTCCTGGCACTTTAGTGCCCTGAGGGTGCCCCCACCCTCAGGGTCCCCCTCCCGCCGGGCTCTGGGGGGAGGAAGGGGTTAAACTTACCTCTTTCTCCAGCGCCGGGCAGGGAGCTCTCCTCCTCCTCTCCGACTGAATGCGCATGCGCGGCAGTCCATAGCATTTCCATGCCTTCCTATGGACGCTGGCGTCTTCTCACTGTGATTTTCACAGTGAGACGCACGGAAGCTCTCTAGCGGCTGTCAATGAGACAGCCACTAGAGGCTGGATTAACCCTCATATAAACATAGTTTCTCTGAAACTGCTATGTTTATAGAAAAAAGGGTTAATCCTAGCTGGACCTGGCACCCAGACCACTTCATTAAGATGAAGTGGTCTGGGTGCCTATAGTGGTCCTTTAAGGTTAATAGGCTGTATATTAGTTATTTGGGACATTGTCACTTCATATGCAGCTTTGTATATGTATGAGGGCTGAGAGGTAACTACGATACTCTATCAAAATGTGGAGGTTTGTTTTCCTTTTCTAGAAATACTTTATTTTATTTTTTATTTTAAAATTTTTATTTTCTTACCTAAAATTATCTGCTACTTTATTCAATGTAGCCTAGTATACAAGTTTATTTTAAGTTTGTAAGCCATTATAAAAAAGAAATATATCATTAGGGAATTTTTTTAATATTTTGCATTTAAAAGGAAAAATCATATGTCTGAGGTGTGTGTGTATAGCTCAATTCTTTGCAGTTTAGGAGTTCAATCACTGACATCTCCTCTGGCTGTGACTTTTACAGCACATTGCTTACATTAGAATTCATCACATGCAGGAGGGCGCTGTGCACTCTAGCAGGTGATTAATATAGCAATAAGGGAAGTTAAAATGTCTGCCCTTTTTCACTTACTGTGTAGGGAGGCTCAGACAGAAAGGTATCCAATGCTTTCACCTAGGAAATCATTTTAGAGGCTATTGTGCAGCAAAACGCCATATTGCACCAATCAGCATCTCCTTATAGCATGGGTCCTCAAACTCTGGCCCCCCAGATGTTGCTGAACTACAACTCCCATGATTCTTTGAATTACATGGATAGCCAGAGCATCATGGGAGTTGTAGTTCAGCAACATCTGGGGGCCGGAGTTTGACGACCCATGCCTTATAGAGATACACTGAAACAATGCATCTCTATGGGGAATGATCAAAACCTCTAGACACTGAATGTAGTAGCAACACTTTTCCTCTTTGACTACTTCAACACACTCATGTTACATTATGGGGTCTATGCAAAGACTCCACTAGTGAGACCGCTGCTTTAAAGGGTTAAACATGTAAACCGCTTTTTGTTTTTAAAATGAGATGTATGAACGTGGATTATATCCTCCATTGTCATTTGCAGTCAACCCACTCCCCATATCTAGTCCTATCCCCATTATCAGTTGCAGCCAGTCTGTCCAGTATAACCAACCCCCCATTGTCAATTGCAGCCAAACTTTTCATAGTTCATTTGAAGCCAAACTGCCATTATCATTTGCAGTCATCCCTCCCACTCATTGTTACATCCAACCCATCCCCCCATAGCCAACCCTACCTGTATAGTCAATTGCAGAAAGCACGCTCTCTCCACATGCTACCTGCATCTAATACTTCCCCACTGCTGTCACCGCACAGTTGTCTCAGCTAGAAGTAGTTATTGCATTGTTCAGGGACATTATCTTCCTATGTAGCAAAATAAGTAGTACCATAAAAGACAAAATCGATAATCCTAAGGAATTAAACATGATGCAAATCAAATAAAAAGTAATGGAGCATAGAAGCGTTCAAAAACCATCTCACATTTTGCCAGTTTGCATGTTCTCCGTAGTAGTATGATGTCTTAAATGGACAAAAACAAACATTTCTGGGTCTCCCAGAGAAGCTTATTTTCCATTTCGTGTTTTCTCAGTAACATACATCTTTTATTTTGTTCAAGGATGCATAAGATAAAGTTCAGCTTATTTAAAAAAAAAAAAAAAAATTTTGTTACAATAGTCGAATTGGATGAGAACTCTGTTTTGCTGTTTATCAAATGCATGTCTGAGAATTAAACTTTTGTCCCCAGTTTTGATAAATTAACCATGTGTCAAGTTGTGTCCTAATTCAGAAATTGCTGTGGACATTCATTGCAGAGCAGATTTGAGATGGTAAATGTATTGTCTAAATACAATTTTAAATAATGGGAATAAAAAAAACAAGATGTATGGGACTCCTCCCCATTGTTATCATTGAGATCTGCAGTAGATTCCCTATTCCTCTCTTCAAACAATATGCTGGTGTTTCTTTAAAAGTATTGGTTCCAATGTCCTGTAAACATCAGAAAAGGACTCTCTCCCTTCTTCACAGTATTCGTTGAGATTGTGTGTGTTTTTTTTATTTTTTATTATTTTATATATAATAGTGAGTGATCTCTGTGCCTCCTGTTAAGTCAGTAAGCAGAGATGACTTCTCTCAATTTACTACATATAGTGTTGAAGGGTTGAAAAATACAAACTCTCTCTCAACTGCTTTACAATCCTCTGTTTCCCTCTGCTATGGGATGGGAGTCTTAGCAACTGGCCCAGGTGAGTTTTAAAACCTTTTTCCCTTTAATCTAGTGGTCTACCAAGGGGAAATCTTTAACTGCTCTGGTGTTGGCACCCCTTCGCATTAACCCCCAATATTTCTAAGTAAAATACACATCTCACAATAAACATTTATGAAAATGTATCTAGTATCATGATGTCTGTAGTGATGGTTGAGGGGACAACTTGTGATTAACAAATCACATCTGTTAAAGGGACACTAGGCACCCTGACCCCTTTCTCATTGAAGTGACCAGGGTGAAATCTTCTTCAATTAAACTGTTGGCAGGTTTTTATCCCCCACCCCACATGACTCCTCTCCTGCAGCTGTCAAAAATGACCTACTAAGCCCTCAGTAAATACTTTTCTAACAACCTACTTCTTACCCCTACTTTTACCCATTGTGTCACTATACCCCACTCCCTCTAGAATGTAAGCTTACTGAGCAGGGCTCTCCACCTCTCTGTTCCTGTACGTCCAGTTGTCTGGTTACAATTACATGTGTTAGTCCACCCATTGTACAACGCTATGAAATCTGATGGCGCTATATAAATAATCTCTCCCCTTTTTTTGGTTTAGCAGAGGTGCTTAAGTTCTTTCCTAGTGATTGTCCTCCAGACAGCTACTAGAGGCACTTCCTGCTGCTTAACAGAATGAAGAGGATGTCTGATGTCTTATTTTACAATACTTTCCTTAAAGTATTGATTAATGATTTCCTAATAGGAAAGCGTTTAAAGTGTGTGTGTGTGTGTGTGGGGCTTGCTGTGCATACACATTGGGTTCCCCCATCGGCCTAACAATGTAAGTGAAGACCTAGTCAGTGCTGAGAGAACCTTGGCACTGGAATTAAGGCATGTACATTTTTTTTATTTTATTTTTTAAAGGGACACTCTAGGCAGCCCTTTTTACTTACCTGGTTCCAGCGCCAGGAGCCTCGTGAAGCCGCGCCCACTATTTCGTCAAAATGACGAAATAGGCGGGCGCGAGCAGGGAGCAATCAGACGCTTCCATTTGGAAGCGTCATTGCTCTCTTGTGTGCTTGCGCGACTTCACCGTTCATGCGCACATACTTCATAGGGTGGCATTCATGCTGCCCTATGAAGTCCTGAGCGCACTACTGTGTGTGCGCGGCCGCAAGCTGAGCTGACAGCTCAGCTCGCGGTCTTTGCCTGCCCCCTCTACTCTGCTGACAGGCAGGAGAGAGAAGGCGCGCACGCACACAGTGCCTTCTCTCTCTCCTGCACGCGTCAGACATATTTTAATGCATCTGACGTGTACATGGCCTTTTTAGGGGCATACATGATATGAAGTCCCTCTGGTGGCCGTCTGAGTGACGGCCACTGGAGGTATTCCTATCAATCAATGTAAACACTGTATTTTCTTTGAAAATACAGTGTTTACATTAGATTGCTTGTAGGGAGCTATAGATCTCACCTGAACAACTACTTTAAGCTGTAGTTGTTCAGGCGACTATAGTGTCCCTTTAACCCTTTGCGTGACTGGGGGACCCACGGAAATAAGGATACCATAGCGTTGTGAATGCAGGTTCCTATGCCATCCCTATAGTGTTCTTTTTAAAATAAATTGCTTAGCACTTAGCAAGTTTATACACTAAAATCAAAGGTTTTAACTAGGGGCATGTGTTTTGTTGTAATTGTAATTATGCGACAAATAGTAGAGCAATGTAAAGTTAAAAATGTTTTTTTTTTCTTTTCATAATGTATGTGTATTAGAGAGAGAGAGAGAGAGAGATATTATCTGTGTATCTCTCTCTATCTCATGTTAAAAGGACACTGTAGGCACCCAGATCACTTCAGCTTATTGAAGTATTTTGGATGCAGTGTCTCTGTCCCCGTTTGTCCTGCAATGTAAATCATTGTGTATTTAGAGCAACTACAATGATTATATTGCAGGACAGCTACTAGAGGGACTTCCTACTTATGAGGAGGAGGGGCACTGGGTTCAGGTAAGTAGAGTAATAGTTTATTAACCCTTACTCTGCAATTGGGGAATCAAATGTCTAGATTTCTCTGAAATCATAGGTTCTCAAAACACAGCCTTTCCCACTTGGGTCAGTCACTGTGACAATCAGAAGGCTGTGCTCTGCATGTCTGTCATCAGGGAAACCTCTCCTCTGGGTGTTTTACTTGGTTCCCTAAGGTAACATTAAACAACATTAAAATAAATATAATAAAAAGTGTGTGTTTTATATACACACGTATACTATTGACCAATAAGTATAATCTAAATGTTGGTTTTTCTTTTTTATTTTTTTGTTTAACTCACACAATGGCATTTTAGAATATCTTGTCCTTGCATATAACTCGCTTGTGGGAGTATGCCTCACACCATGTGCTCTGAATTCACTAAACATTATGTAAAATTCCAGGAGAATACTATCTTGCAGGCTAAATTAGCCTTCATCTCTGAGCAAGACTTTCTAACCAGATGCACAAAGGCATGCAAAGTTTTAAAGAATGTGCTTGGGTCAGCAGGAACAAGTGAGGAGGTGACATCTTGGAAGCAGTACTCCAGTATGACAAGTTAGGGGAAACTGCAGTATAGTTAATTTGAAAGTACACTCTCTGAAATAATGTGCAAAAATCCAGATATGAAAATTGCAGCTTTATTGAATTAACATGCTCATTAGCTGCCTTCTGTTACTGAGGGCTTTACCCGGTGTAATCTGAGATATCCTCATTGGATGGGGGTTATTGTAGAGCATGAGAAGTAAGTTTGCAGGCATATCAAATTACTTTGTGATCATTTCACTCCAGCCCTTTAACACTTGGATTTCAATAAACCTCCTATAGTGTAAAATTGGAATGAAGCAGCCCGTGGGGGAGGGGTGGCATCTAGTTGGAGGCAAACTGCAAGCTCCAATATAAAATCAATATGTTTAATCCTGCAATAATGTAACATTGTTTAAAAGTTATACTTGTTTCTGCAAAAAATACCCGGGTCGCTCTGTTTTGTACAGCAGAACATGTTGGTATGTATAGGAATACTTGTGGCTCCAAATCTACTTTGCATAATGAAATTGTTTTGGTGCAAAGACCATGTCTCTGTTGTGTGTAAATGCAAAGCCTTGCTGTTGTGTGTTTTTTTTTTTTTCTAAGCAGGCACCACCTCTCACATTATGCCAACATACTGTCTAGCTTTAGTGCATTGGTGTTGAAACTAAGGAGCCTCAAATGTGCCACATAATTTATTGTGTGCATGATCTTTTAAATTACATGCACATTGCATACTTTTATCATGGGTACTACTAAATAAACTGTGTACAATGAACAGTGTTCATTGTAATGTGCACAAAATACCAGGCTTGCAGCATGAATGTGCCATCTGGGGCTCCATAGTACCCAAACTCAATCACCAAAGATGCAGTGTGACATCTGTCTTTTTGTTCCTATATTTTTCAGCAGAACCTAAGAGAAGCATGTGCTGTAGTTGCTTTAAAGGGACACTATAGTCACCTGACCAGCGTTAGCTTAATGAAGCAGTTTTGGTGTATAGAACGTGCCCAATGCAGCCTCACTGCTCAACCCTTTGCCGTTTAGGAGTTAAATCCCTTTGTTTATGAACCCTAGTCACACCTCTCTGCATGTGACTTGCACAGGCTTCCATAAACACTTCCTGTAAAGGTAGCCCTATTTAGGCTTTCTTTATTGCAAATTCTGTTTAAGATTTTATTATTCCCTGCTATGCTAATAGCTTGCTAGACAATGCAAGAGCCTCCTGTATGTGATTAAAGTTCAATTTAGAGATTGAGATACAATTATTGAAGGTAAATTACATCTGTTTGAAAGTGAAACCAGTTTTTTTTTTTCTTTCATGCAGGCTCTGTCAATCATAGCCAGGGGAGGTATGGCTAGGGCTGCATAAACAGAAACAAAGTGATTTAACTCCTAAATGACAGTGAATTGAGCAATGAAATTGCAGGGGAATGATCTATACACTAAAACTGCTTTATTTAGCTAAAGTAATTTAGGTGACTATAGTGTTCCTTTAAAGGAGAGCAGCTTCGGTTTCTCAATTCTCATAACAGGCAATGTAGAGAATTGGTTGTTATGAAATTATACATTTGCTTGCACACTGTACACGTGAAAATTAGTGCTATTTATTGTGTATACTATGATGGGTACTCTTTAGTTTTACTGTATAAGTCTGAACCAGTATAGTATACATTTAATTCAGGTAGTCAGAAGAATAATTGCTTCTTGTCTGTTGACCAAAACCACATCGTAATGTATTCTCTTCCCCATCCCCTTTTCTTTGCACAGCAAATGGTTATGAGTCTTCGAGTTTCTGAATTGCAAGTACTTCTTGGTTACGCCGGACGCAACAAACACGGTCGCAAACACGAACTCCTCACCAAAGCCCTACATTTGTTAAAGGCTGGGTGCAGCCCTGCAGTCCAAATGAAAATAAAGGAACTTTACCGGCGACGCTTTCCTTTAAAAATCTTAACTCCTGCGGACTTTTCCCTTCCCAGTGTGCACTCCAGCACAATGCCCACCAACCTGTCTCCAACCTCCATTCCTTCGCTTTCATACGACAGTCACCCTGCATCCTCTCCGCTGCTTCCTGTTTCTCTTTTGGGACCCAAACATGAACTAGAGCTCCCACACCTCACATCCAACCTCCACCCCGTCCATCCGGACATAAAACTACAGAAGCTGCCCTTCTATGACCTGCTGGATGAGCTTATCAAACCCACAAGTTTAGGTAAGTCAGACGTCTCGGATTGCTCTACTGTATATTTATAGCCCCCATACATTTTCTGTATTGCTTTTAAACTACAGAAAGGGTTTTTATTTAATATGCTAGATGTATACCTAACACATTATATGTGAATACAAATGTTAAAAATGAGAGATCCAGTGCAACTAAGAAATCAAAATAGATTAATATATCCGTCCTAATTGTTAAATGCCTAATATGTCTAGGATCTAAATACATTTTTGATAGTTAACATAACACTATACCAACGTTACCTCTTACCCAATTCTTACACTAACCGTATACCTACCCTAATCTTAAAGGGACAGCTTTTTTTATTTGTTCTGATGAGTATAATCATTCCCTTTAGGCTTTTTGTAGTAAACACAAAATGCAGTGTTTACATTACAGCCCAGGGATGCCTCCACTTGCCACTCCTTAGATGGCTACTAGAGGTGCTTCCTGGGGCAGTGCTGCACAATGTCTCCTCCCTCTGCATGGAGGCACTGGACTTTCTTCATAGAGATTCATTGCTTCAATTAATCTCTGAAGAGATTCTGATTGTCGAGGGGTGTGTTTGACTTGTGCTGACTCTGTCCCTGCTCTGCCTCCTTGACAGTCTCGACCAATCCTATGGGAAAGCATTGTGATTGGTTTAGAAAATTACTTCTGATAATGTTAGCCAAGCAGGCAGATCCACAAAATATACATGCCAGTCAGAGTCGTCGTCCCTCTGCTTCTTCCCTGGTGGTCCGGTGGCATGGACTGTGCAGCAGCTCCCTTGTCTAACTCTCGCGGCCTGTGTGCCGCACGGAGTGTTGCCATAGTAACCCATGGCAACGCTCTGACGGACGCAGGACTCGCCCTCAAGAATGAAAGAGATACACACTTGATACAGGCTTGAATGGTGGATTTAACACTACAGGGTCATGAATACGTGTGTGTTCCTGACCATTTAGTGTTCCTTTAACCTTAACCCTAAAACCGAATTAACCTGTACCCATTGTTAATCCTTTCCCTAAGCCTACAGGGAACCATAACCCTACCCTACCTTTTGGTCTGTGTTTTCATAATTACACTTTGTATAATTGGCTAGGAACCAGGTATCCTTCATAATTGCACTGAGCACCGGTCACATTCAGCTGGGGGACACTGTCAGGGTCTCCCTGAGCAACCTACAGACCAGACAAACCACCGCTGAGCGTGATTGCTCTATCGTGGTTTTATGGTGCTAAAGGTCTCTGTGAAGCAATGGACTGCAAATAAGAATGTGTGGCAAAATACTGTGCTCATTCAATCAAATACTGCTATCAGCTGCGTTTGTTTTCTAGACTGAGCTTTACTTTGTTCTGGAGCAGGAGGAAGAGACCCTAATGAATGTCATAGCCACTAGAGGAATAGTTAAATCTGCAATTTCCGCATAAAATGGCCGGGACTACTGCACCCAGACAACTTTGAGATGCAGTGGTTTGGGTGATGTTAGTTGTCGTTTTTAAAGTCTAATGAGAAATTTATTTTTTATTTTTTTTTGTATATAAATAATTTGGAAAGCTCATTAAACCGTGGCATAATGTATAAAGATAGTTTTGGTATTTTTACATTTTATGATAATACCCACTTAGTGGGTAGCGTGGTGTTTGTTTTTGGTGGGGTGGGAGGGGTAGTTGGTGTGTATCTTTCATTCTTGAGGGCGAGCCCTGCGTCCGTCAGAGCGTTGCCATGGGTTACTATGGCAACACTCCGTGCGGCACACAGGCCGCGAGAGTTAGACAAGGGAGCTGCTGCACAGTCCATGCCACTGGACCACCAGGGAAGAAGCAGGGGGATGACGACTCTGACTGGCATGTATATCTTGTGCATTTACAAAAATTTAAATAAAAATAAATAAAAAAATTTGCAAAAAATAAATATATTCAGCTAACAGTAGATTTGTGTATAAATAGTTTAATTTTTTAAAATGGTAAATGTACAGAGTATTGGTATCTGCTCTAAAAAATCAATATCGGTCGATTCCTACTAGTGACTTGGGTAATATTTCTTCCTTGGACATGCACTGTATAATCATATATTGTAACTAACCCTATTTTTTGCGTGTGTGTGTTTAAAATAAAACTATTACAGTATGTAAAACTTGCGCAGGATCTTGTATGATATATAGATCACACAGTAAAAATTTTAACTAGAAAATCAATTTAAAAGGTGTGTGTGTGTATGTGTGTATGTATATGTATATATATGTATATGTATATGTGTGTATATATATATATATATATATATATATATATATATACACACACACAGCAGTTAACAAGCTGGGCATTTGCAGGTATCAAAGACGTTTTGGGTATATTTTTGTGAGATTTTGGTTTTATGCATTCTCTCGATTACAAAAAAATAGAAAAATCTACTGTAGCCTTGTGTATTTGGCAGCCCATTGGCTATACATGCCAAAATGCTGTAGAGGGGGGTAATAACTGCCAGATGGTTATGCTCTAGTCTAGAACACCGCTTTCATTCCACTTGCACTGTAATGGTTAATTCAGTGTACCGAGTCTGTTTTTTTTTTTTTTTTTCTTTTCAGAATACAATTTGTACCGAACATGTAGTTGGACCTGCTCATGAGTGATAACTTGGTTGAAATAAATCACTTATCATAAACTGTTTGTATGTAGGTTGTGGTGGGGGAGGTGCAGTCTGCGTATCCATGGCAACAGATTAAGTCAGTCCAATTTGCCCATCCTGACCAATCTACAGAATTCTTTCGAGCTTGGTCATGTGCTCCAGAGGTTTGCTGAAAAGAAAATGAATGATTGGCTAGTGCCAATTTATTTATATTGCCACAAATGAGTGCCCTTTTATTTATTTTTGTCATTTGTGTATATGACAGAAGTTGCATAAATATACTGAGATATTGAGTGCAGAACCCTTTTGAATTTTGAGTGTGTGTGTAATTGTTTTTTATTTAATTTTTTTTCCAAATCTCTCCTGTAATAACTTGCCATCCGAAAAGAGTGGTTATAGAAGTCATACTTTCATTCAGTATATCGAATCCCACTGCAGTTTATAAGTGTTGAGTCCTGATATGATGCAGTTAAATCTACCCACACACTCCATGATATTTTAGATGAATCTTTTCTCCTTTTTGTAAAACATTATTGTAGATAGAAGGGCCCATATCTGGCCCCCTAAGTAGTCTGATGCAGACCATGGCCATTTATCCCAAAATAGTGAAGTATGTTTGAGTCCTGGACATGCTTTCTTATGTCCAGTTTGCTTGTGACCTGGCTCACATCATGGCCATGATCCTGCCCAAATTTGATGTTTGAGTAGGCTGTGTGCTAATGCAGTTTGGTTATTCTGTAGTGGGTGTTGGAACTTTAATGATGAGGTTGGCTGCTGCACACCATTCAGAGAAGAGGCCTCCATTGATACCTCTGCTTCGCTACGGGTACTGGGGAGGGGGTTGAGGGGTTTATGTAGTGATGTTTGAATGGGCGTACAAATGTTCTTCTGGTAGTGTGGCTCTATGGCCCCCATTTGAGACAACTGTGCCAGTAACTCCTAGATAAAGTTACTTTAAGACCCTGGTAACTAGTGTTGGCATACAAAAAAAATAGATCTGTATCAAAATAGCTGAAGCGATGACACAGTACTTGAAGGGTGTTTTATACTCTGACAGCTGAAAGCTGATCCATAATGGAGAGCAGTTTGTTTATGACCAAACACCTACACATTCTCATCCATACACTTAGCGATGTAGTCATAGCTGGGTGTTTTCTTGTTTGTGAGGTTTTAATTGCACCCATTGTGTTTGTGTAATTTTATTATTTGCTGAAAATATTTGAGTCCATTCTCTGCATTGTGGGGGATGGGTGCCTTCTGCAGTCTTGACAAGGCATTTCCTGGGGGAAGGGGGGGGGGAGGTTGCAGTTGTCATGTAGGATGGGGGTTTCTTTAGCAAGAGTGCAGAGGTTGGTGGCCCCAGGAGGCCTCTAGAGGGAGGGGCCACATCCTTTATTACAAGCAGATTCTATTTTTAGCAGTGCATGATATTGATTGTCTCCAAAGAACAGCTACTCCAATTCCAACCCCTTATATCTTGTGGGGTTTTTTTTTTTTTTTATTTATTTATTTTTTACATTTATATTAACGACATAATTTAGTTCACAAAGGGGATTGGAGACCAGTGCATTCTGCTCAGCCCTTTTCATTTAATGTGTATACGCTCCTATTTCATGTTCCTAATTTTGGTCCTATTCGGTGCTTCATTTGCATCTGTCAACATAATTTTTAGTTTATCAGTTATTTATTTAAGGTCCTTGTATAATTGTAAAGTGCAAAATGGTGACAATATATAAACTCTAATATTACAACTATGGAAAGGTAAGGGAATTAATTGAGCCAAACTTATATTTTGCTTAGTGATCCTGTATATGAGAGATAATGTGTTTACAGCTTCTCCAGCATTGCATATCCTCTCCTGATCTCTCCCCGTCCCTCTTGACTAGTGTCTCTGACTGCCTCTCTGCTGTTTCTAACTGGATGGCTGCCCACTTCCTTAAACTAAACTTGGCCAAAACTGAAATTCTGGTCTTTCCTCCCTCAAGTGTTGCTACTCCTGTGTCTCTCTCCCTCCAAGTCAACGGTGCTACCATCAGCTCCACCACGTGTTCTCTTTGACTCCAACCTCTCCTTCAAGCCTCATGTTCAACCTATCGCCAAATCCTGTAATTTCCATCTCAAAAACATTGCGCGCATCCGCCCCTACTTAACGCCAGATGCGACTAAGGTGTTGGTCCATTCCCCTGTCCTTTACTTTCCTTGCCTTGACTACTGTAATCCGCTTCTCAGTGGTCTTACATGCTCCCAACTTGCGCCGTTACAGTCCATAATGAATGCGACGGCAAGGCTCATCTTCCTGTTCGCCCACACCTCCCATGCCTCACCCTTCTGTCAGTCCCTACATTGGCTTCCTATAAAATATAGAGCTCAATTTAAAATTCTGGTTCTTGCTTTCAAATCTCTACATAATGCTGCTCCCACCTAACTATCCTCCTTTATACACAAGTATGTCCCGTCTAGGCCCTTACAATCTGCTGAAGACTTACGTCTGTCTTCTGTCCATACTCCCACCTCTGATGCTCGCCTTCAAGATTTCTCGAGGGCTGCACCGTTCCTGTGGAACTTGCTTCCCTCCTCCGTTAGATGCTCACCCAGTCTCCACTCCTTAAAAAAATCGTTAAACCGACTTAAAAGCGTATCAATTAAACTGTTAATAGCTCCTGACTGATTCCTCTTCTGCAACTGTCACTAGTCTAATACTATCCTTACCTTTTTGTGTCATTTTACCCCACTCCCTCTAGCATGTAAGCTCATCGAGCAGGGCCCTCAACCCCTCTGTTCCTGTGTGTCCAACTTGTCTGGTTACAACTACATGTCTGTTTGCCCACCCATTGTAAAGCGCTGCGGAATTTGACGGCGCTCTATAAATATCATAATAATATCACATCATGAGAAACAAAACTGTTGCTGATATTGGCTTGTATTTTGTAATTTGGCTGGCATATCACAACAATCTATTTTGATGGCTTTGTCCATTCCATTGTTAGACCTCTGTTTCATAAGCCTTTTGTATTTTGTGAGCTTGCATCCCATTTGCAAATTAACACTATGCTGTATGTAGCAGCACATGGGTCAAGATAATTGAATTTGCAAATCATTCAAAATGCAAAAGCACTAAACATATGATGATCCTTTTTGTTTTGGATTTCTTTTCTCTTTTACCAATGTGGTTCTACAGTGGGCTTATAGTTATGCAGAAACAGGGAGAAAAGAGACTGCAAATATATAACCGAATTAAAGCGTGTGTGTGTGTGTGTGTGTGTGTGTGTGTGTATATGTATATATGTGTGTGTGTGTGTGTGTATGTATATGTATATATATATATGTGTGTATGTGTGTGTATGTGTGTGTATGTATATATATATTTATTATGTGTATGTATGTGTATGTGTATATGTATATGTGTGTGTGTGTGTGTGTGTATATATATATATATATATATATATATATATATATATATATATATAATTATACACGCGCTTTAATTATGCGAAAGATATGAGGCGTTGTATATTTAGACACTTTTGATTTTAGTGCCTCACTGCATAGATTAATTTGCCTTTGGAATCGTACCCAGATTACATTTGATGTTGGTGTGTAATTGGGTATATGTGTTTTCTCAAGAACCTTCTTCGTCATGAGATTGGTAATATTGTTCTAATGTAATCTTCATGAAATTCTTAATGAGAGCCATATCTCCTAATGCTATCTAATCTAAACTTTACCAGAGGATCCCCTGGTGATATTTAGTACTTCTGGGAGTTCATTTGCCAGTTTAACACCTATGCGGGCATCTTTGTTTTAGTCCATAGACTGTAAGCTTGTTTGAGCAGGGTCCTCTTCTACCTATTGTTCCTGTAAGTTTTAAAAACAATCTGTTTTCCTGGCATTGCAGGTCCCCTCTCCCTCCCAATCACTGGTAGCTGAAGGGGTGAAAACCCCTTCAGGTCACTTACCTGAGACCCCGCCGATGTCCCTCGGCGGTTGTTTCTTTTCGCCGCCGCTCCTCCTAGTCATTACATCGGCCGGTGGGCGAGACTTGTGCATTAGAGCTCCCCATAGGAAAGCATTGAAAATGCTTTTCAATGCTTTCCTATGGGGAATTGAGAGACGCTGGAGGTCCTCACACAGCGCGAGGACGTCCAGCGATGCTCAAGCACAAGTTTTCTGTGCTATAGAGCGGGAAGTGCCCTCTGGTGGCAGAAACTAATCTTATTGATTAATCTTATTGATTTTTTTGATTGGGTAACTAAAACTATAGATCAGGGTGGTGCAGTAGACATTGCTTACCTAGATTTCAGTAAGGCTTTTGACACTGTTGCACATAGAAGGCTTATCAATAAACTGCAATCTTTAAGTTTGGATTCCAATATTGTTGAATGGGTAAGGCAGCAGTTGAGTGACAGGCAACAGAGGGTTGTAGTTAATGGAATATATTCGAAGCTTGGACTTGTCACCAGTGGGGTACCTCAGGGATCTGCACTTGGACCCATTCTCTTTAATATTTTTATTAGTGATATTGCAGAAGGTCTTGATGGTAAGGTATGTCTTTTTGCTGATGATACTAAGATATGTAACAGGGTTGATGTTCCAGGAGGGATAAGCCAAATGACAAATGATTTAGGTAAACTAGAAAAATGGTCAGAATTGTGGCAACTGACATTTAATGTGAATAAGTGCAAGATAATGCATCTTGGACATAAAAACCCAAGGCAGAGTACAGAATATTTGATAGAGTCCTAACCTCAACATATGAGGAAAGGGATTTAGGGGTGATTATTTCTGATGACTTAAAGGTAGGCAGACAATGTAATAGAGCAGCAGGAAATGCTAGCAGAATGCTTGGTTGTATAGGGAGGGGTATTAGCAGTAGAAAGAGGGAAGTACTCATGCCATTATACAGAACACTGGTGAGACCTCACTTGGAGTATTGTACACAGTACTGGAGACCGTATCTTCAGAAGGATATTGATACCTTAGAGAGGGTTCAGAGAAAGGGCTACTAAACTGGTTCATGGATTGCGGGATAAAACTTACCAGGAAAGGTTAAAGGATCTTAACATGTATAGCTTGGAGGAAAGACGAGACAGGGGGGATATGATAGAAACATTTAAATATATAAAGGGAATCAACACAGTAAAGAAGGAGACTATATTTAAAAAGAAGAAAAACTACCACAACAAGAGGACATAGTCTTAAATTAGAGGGACAAAGGTTTAAAAATAATATCAGGAAGTATTACTTTACTGAGAGGGTAGTGGATGCATGGAATAGCCTTCCAGCTGAAGTGGTAGAGGTTAACACAGTAAGGAGTTTAAGCATGCATGGGATAGGCATAAGGCTATCCTAACTATAAGATAAGGCTAGGGACTAATGAAAGTTTTTAGAAAATTGGGCAGACTAGATGGACCGAATGGTTCTTATCTGCCGTCACATTCTATGTTTCTATGTTTCTATGAGTTAACCCTGCAAGGTAATTATTGTAGTTTATATTAAAAAAAAAAAAAAACTGCAATAATTACACTTGCAGGGTTAAGGGTAGTGGGAGTTGGCACCCAGACCACTCCACTGGGCACAAGTGGTCTGGGTGCCTGGGGTGTCCCTTTAAATCCACCCTCATATAATATTGTAAAGGGCTACGGAATCTGTTAGCGCTATATAAATGCCAATAATAATAGGATAAATCCTACCTCTTGTCCCTTTAGACTGATAACTACTTGAGCAGTGCAAAGGATACACTATCCTTTTTACCCTTGACAGGGCTCACATTTTTCACTAGCCAATGGCATGTGAATGTGTTGACTTTTTCCTTTTTTTTTTTTTTTTTTTCCTCTCCTGCAACTGCATTAACAAATGAAAAGGCGTGTCAATGAGGGCTATATCAGAATGTTAACAAGCAAAATTGTTCATGAGTGAGAGTGATAAATGATATAAGTAAAACATTGAAATAAAGCAATAAATTGTATCGGAGAAGACCTGTTTTCACAATAGAACAATAAAACTATTATAGCTGTGAACAGTGATACATGTCCTGTAGGTCTCCACACACCGCATACACCTCTACACCACAAGCATAGATTATAGACCAGTGGTTTCTAACCCAGTTCTTAAGGCACACCAGCTATTGAGCATTTTCCAGTTCTGTTCCTGTGGGGATAATGGCAAAATCTAAAGTTCAGGCCTGTTTTAACACTGAATTGGGAACAAGTGGTATAATGTTTGGTGTGCCTATTGGGAGTAGAACTCTTATTTGCAGGTCTACTGTTTGTACATTGTCAATGGGAAGAGCATGGTCTCTGCACTCCAATAATTTAGATTTAAATATTAAAAGGGACAGGGGCACTGCACCCAGACCAATTCAATGAGAAGTGGTGTGGGTGCCTAAAGTGCCCCTTTCATTTTTTTTTACTTATTTTTATTGAAAAGTTTTAGAAATAAAAAGGAGTACAAATCATGGATATGAAACTCAACATAGCAATGGAATCACGTTTTACATTACAGTGTACTTCACAGAAAATAGGATGGGAGATAAACACTTATCTAGCTGGTAAAAGGGCATATAGTCAGATTAGCAATTTCATATTAAGTCAGGCGTTCCCCTTGCTTCCCTCCAATGTGTGTGATCCATGGTTTCCAGATGTCGGTATACTGTGAAATCCTCCCGAACGATGCCCACCTGAGTTTCTTCAGAGCCCGAAAGTGTTCCACTTTGGCTGCCCCTTCTCGGTACCTTATACGGGATGTATATTTCCATTTAATCGCTATTACAGATTTTGCCGCCGCTTACATAAAGAATAGGAGGGAGTATTTGAATTTCTGAAGTGGCATATCTGTTAAGAAGAAGCATTGTGTCTCACACGGCAGCATACAGCCAATGATTTCCCCCACTTTAAGGTTGACCATTTCCCAGAAGGGTCTTAGATTCCCACAGTGCCACCACATGTGGCCTATATCCCCGTCTCCTCCTCCTCCTCCGCGCCAACAGAGTGGGGGTGTATCTGGGCGAAACCTGTGAATTTCTTGTGGGGTTCGATACCATGTTGAGAGGAGCTTATAATTTAGTCTTGTGAAGGGAGACACTCGTGTGGGCATAGAAGGTTTTGCGGAAGATCAACTCCCATTCCCTTTCGCTCAGTGTGCAACCCAGGTAATGTTCCCATTTGTGCGTGAATCATGGGAGCCCGTTGTGTATATGTGTCTGGAGTAAGTTAAGGCACTTTGATATTGCTTTTGTCACTGATGATGTGCTCGAGCATAGTCGTTCAAATTCGGTAGAATTCGGTTTAGTCTCCAGGAGGTGGGGGGAAAGTTAATTAACGAACGTCTTGTAGTAGGCCGATGAGAAACCATCCGGGCCTGGAGCTTTATTGTGAGGGGTTGTAGCTCCTCTATCGTGAAAGTGGCGTCTAGTGATTGGCTGTCTGAGTGTGAGAGTTTCCTATGCGTGTTTTTCTCCAGATATAACCGCATCGCCCATTTAATTTTTAGCTCTATCTGTTCTGTTTGTTCTCTACCAGCTGCCTTACAGTTTGTTTGTGTGTGTGTGGTTTTTTTATTTATTTTTATTCTCTCTCCCTCAGAAGCACTGAAGCGCCTCTAGCGGCTGTCAATGAGACAGCCACTAGAGGCTGGATTAACCCTATTGTAAACATAGCAGTTTCTCTGAGACTGCTGTGTTTACAGCTGCAAGGTTAACCCTAGATGGACCTGGCACCCAGACCCCTTCATTGAGCTGAAGTGGTCTGGGTGCCTATAGTGGTCCTTTAATCCAGCAGCAAGAAGGTTCCTTGGTGCATCTCAACACTATGGGGACCCAATTCTTTTTGTCTTGACTCTGGCAAGTGTCATGAATTTTGTATGCAAAATCAGAGTAAGCAGGAAGTAGAGTAATATGAGAAGGTAGTCCTGCCTTTATAGCAGATATAGTATAGAGTATGATTACTTTTTTATTTTATTTGCTGCAAACTTTATATTAAGATAAATGCTTATTCTGTGTTTTTTTTTTCTTTTTTTTTGTTTATACTCGGGCAGCAATAATTCACCAACTCCTTATTGATATCTGATTGTATACTTCATGTGAAATGGCTAGTTGGGCATTATGTTTACTTATGCCCCTGTCTTTTCTCGCCTCCTTTTCATGATTTGCGATATATAAACCATCTTTGGAATAATAATGTTAACTTTGTGTATAATCTTATATTTATAAATAGGAGTCGAGAAAGCCGCATAAAATGTCCCCTGTGATACAAGCATGCCAATTATTGGATTCCAGCTCTGGAACATTGTGTGAAGTACATTATGTTATCATTAGTACAACAAAGGCAAGTCAATTGGTATTGCCAAGACCTGAGCTTCTTAATCTAAAAAGCCTTTCAAAGTACAAGCAGGGCAGTGCTTGCAACTTTCCCTTGGACTGTATCTGTCAGTGAAGCTCAGGGCATCTTGTGGCCTAAACATGTTCTCATGCTTTTGCAGTGTGGTTTCTTTTGAAACGCACAAAATTGAGTTCTATTGGGGCCGTGCATGCCCACACCTGCAAGCTTTATGCTTTTTTTTTTTTTTTTTAAATGTTCAGTCTGTACATATATCATACTAGGTCTTGCATGTATAGCTGTGGTTTTTTTAAAAATATATATACCTGTAGGTACCCTTTACTAACCAATCTCCCATGGCCAGTATACTGCTGGCTGGTACTACCTGCTCGGCCATTCATAATTTAATAGTAAAATGTTACAAAACTCATTCATCCTGCAGTAAGGCACCTCTTTCCTCCGCAGTCCATGTCACATTGTGTCTCTTCCCAGCTGCTTTTAATATAGTTCAATGAGAAGGCTTGCTTGATATTTTCTATACTCCCAAAGAAAACATGCAAAAAGGACTGCATGTGTGTGTATGTGTGTGTATGTATGTGTGTATGTATGTGTATATATATATATATATATATCAATATAATATAATTTTTTTTTTTTTTAATTTTTTTTTTCTTTGGGGTTCAATTTTGTAATGGATCACCTGGCACCCCGACTGGGTACCTCCATTAACAGATGCTCTTAGTGCTCACCAAGGACCATCAACACTGCAGTCCCCACGAACTGCTGCAGTTTGGTTAGGGTCTCTCCGTCTCCTACCCACAATGGACCTACGACAAGGCTCCAGGTTCCAGTGGGTGAACCTCTCTTCCTCCAGAGAGCGAAGCAGGAACAGCTCTTACAAGAGTTAGTGATTATTCAAGGGAGTATGAAGAGCATAGCAATCCCTTGTAGCAGTTTCCCCCCAATAAGAGACAGTACTCTAAATTGAGGGTGAAGTAGAACAGAAGGTTTAATGATACAGGCTTGATTTTTATATACGATTTTCCCAACAAGGTTTACGCTCAGCTGGATCTTGTTGGGCACCAGACATAAAACATACAGGCCAATCAGCAACAGTGTGATCATGAATAACACTCCCACATACTGTACGCAATCCCTCCCCTCTGCCTGTGATATAATTACTGACGACAAATGACTAACTCAATTAACTTTAACAGAATAAACATACATTTTTTAAATATGACCCAAGTACCCCAAAATTAAACACATTCCCATAAAGTTATCACCTGATAGCCCTGATCTGGGTGAACAACATATCCAAAAATCATCCAGATCAGAGCAGGGGTTCAGGAAATTCCTGGAAGTGATATTTGACCGACCGCAAACATGGCTTCATGCCCAAAACCGTTCCAGAGAATTAGGCTGTGTGGACAGTCTATTTTTAATGTATAAGTTTAGTTTGAATAGTCAAATGGGAACTGTTCGTGCACATAGTCAATGTTAAAAGTGCCGTTTGAATTGACGAATGCTGTTCGATTCCTGTTGTCGCAGTCCCGGAGAAGGTAAAGTTTCAGCGGTCTTCGTGCCGTCGCGTTTACAATTTGAGTTCCATGAACTCAACGAGAAAACACAGCTGACCTCGTTCGACTAAATAAAATGGCCGCGGCCACGTGTTTGAATGGCGACTACATCGACACTTCGACTGTTTCGAAGTGCCACTTTGAAAGTGTAAATCTGTTCCAACAGTATTTAAAGAGGCAGAAACAGTGCCTTAAAACCAAATCAGTCACAGGGATCATAATCCCAAGGTAAAAGGCTGGCCATGAGTCCTCTCCAAAAACCAGTGGCGAAGTGGCTTTTGCCACTAATTTATCTTTGTAGCTTTCTTCTAGGGGGTTTTCAAGAATTATGCAATTTGGGTGCAATGATACCTCTGTCTGCTTTAGCTTTTTAACCCCTTAAGGACTGGACTGTTTTTGCGATGTTGTACATTTGCGACCAGGTATATTTTTACACTTTTGTGGTGTTTGTGTTTGGCTGTAATTTTCCGCTTTCTCATTTACTGTTCCCATACAAATTATATATTGTTTTTTTCAGGACAAAAGGGGCTTTCTTTACATACCATTATTTATATAATCCCATGTATTTTAATTTAAAAAGAAATAAAAAAATATGATGAATTGAAAAAAATACATTTTTTTTTTTTTACTTGAAAAATCTTTTACTCATCTACAAAAGCGAATGGGGAAAAAAACTGCTAAATAGATTCAAAATTTTGTCCTGAGTTTAAAAATACCCAGTGTTTACGTGCTTTTTTTTTTTTTTTGCATGTTATAGGGCTATAGGTACAAGTAGGCTATTGCGGTTTCAAAACATACATTTTTAAAATTTATCAATAGTGCCATTGTAACACTATTATCTGTCATAAATCTCTGAATAACACCCCACATGTACATATTTTTTTTTAAAGTAGACAACCCAGGGTATTCAATATGGGGTATGTCCAGTCTTTTTTAGTAGCCACTTAGTCGAAAACACTGGCCAAAGTAAGCATTCATATTTGTTTGTGTGTGAAAAAAGTAAAAAAACTAAATTGAACGCTAATTTTGGCCAGTGTTTGTGACCAAGTGGTTACTAAAAAAGACTGGACATACCCCATTTGCAATACCTTGGGTTGTCTTCTTTTGCAAATGGTATGCCATTCATGGGGGTTCTCATTCCTGGGCTACCATACGCTCTCAAAGGCAACGTAACCAACCTGGCCATTTTCAATGTAAAAATATTTGACCCATATATTTGACCTTGTAACTTTCAAAAATGCTATAAAACCTGTACATGGGGGGTACTGTTTTACTCGGGAGACATCGCTGAATACAAATATTAGTGTTTAAAAACTGGAAAACGTATCACAACAATTATATCATCAGTAAAAGTGCTGTTTGTGTGTGAAAAATGCAAAAAAAGTCACTTTCACTGACAATATCATCGCTGTGATATGTTTTACTGTTTTGAATCACTAATATTTGTGTTCAGCGAAGTCTCCCGAGTAAAACAGTACCCCCCATGTACAGGTTTTAGGGTGTCGTAGAACGTTACAGGGTAAAATACAGTGCTAGCAAATTAAATTCTCTGGAATTTCGGCCTGGGTTGGCAGGCAGGTTCCTCAAATTGCAATCAATAAAATTACTGAATTATGTAAAAATATTACATAAATACGCACGTAGAATTTAAATATATATGCATATTTATATATTTGAAGTCTACGTGTATATTTATATAATTATGTAATTTTGTATATGGACATATGTATATTTCGTATTTTTATTTATTTATATATACATAGATATATATACAAATTCATTCTAAGTGTATTTTGATATAAATATATATATTTTAAAATAGTTAGAATAAAATTTCATATAGATATATAATTTAAATTTTTATTTAAAAAAAAATTATTTAAATTACTTATTTATATTTTAAAATATATATATACAATATATAGTTATTTTTATATATATATATATATATATATTAATTTAATTATAAGTGTATTTTTATATTAATATAAGTACATATTAATATAAAAATACACTTAGTATGGCTGTGTGTGTGTGTGTGTGTGTGTGTATCTATCTATCTCATATATACACATATATAATTTTATTTATTTTATTAACATTAACTTTATTTATTTTTTTATTTTATTTTTTTTTTATTGATTTTACACTAGCAGGGAGACACATGGACACCTATTTTGACCATGTGATCGCTGTGCTGAGTGATCACAGGGGTCCTAATCCGGTGTGAGCTGTCTGTCTGTCTGTCTGGGCTGCAGGCAGTCTCCCCACACCGGGAGCCACGCTGATCGCCGCCGGGGGAACGACGGCGATCAGGTAAGTAACTCAGACCGTTAGGACGGTTCAGGACGGTCATCGGTCGGCAACGCAAAAATGCAGATGACGGTCCTGACCCGTCCTCGGTCGTTAAGGGGTTAAACTGCACTTAGTGTTAACAAAGCATGCACCTATTTTGATACCACAAGTGTCTTTTGGGAAGCACACTTTATCAGCAAACTACTCAAATAATTTGAAATAGCTGATGTTAAAGTTGTGTAAGTGTATTTGTGGGGGGTGGTTGTTTTGCTTACAGTGAACTATAATATTACATAAATATCACAGTATGTCTTGCCCGCTGACTGCACTATGGATAAACATTTAGCTTCTACCTTGCTGCTTAAATGTGGTTGTGTTTTATTTATTTTTTTTTATTTTTTTTTGTTTTTTTTAGTTTTTTTACATTTTTTTTTTATTTTATTTATTTTTTAATTTAAAAAATAAAGTCTAGATTTTTCTCACTCCGCTATTTTAGTTAAAGGTAGATTCCAAGTGCCTTAAATATGTTTAGGTATTCTATAATATGCTTTAAAAAAATAAGTAAAAAGAACAAGCTATATTATATTGCTTTAAAGGACTACTATAGTGCCAGGAAAACACTCGTTTTCCTGGCACTATAATGCCCTGAGGGTGCCCCCACCCTCAGGGACCCCCTCCCGCCCGGCCCTGGGGAGAGGAAAGGGGTTAAGCTTTTTTTCCAACGCCGGGCGGAGAGCTCTCCGCCTCCGATCCTCCTCCTCTCCTCCCATTCGGCTGAATGCGCACGCGTGGCAAGAGCTGCGCGCGCATTCAGCCGGTCTCATAGGAAAGCATTTACAATGCTTTCCTATGGACGTTTGCGTCTTCTCACTGTGATTTTCACAGTGAGAATCACGCAAGCGCCTCTAGCGGCTGTCAATGAGACCGCCACTAGAGGATTTGAGGGCTGGATTAACCCATTTATAAACATTAGCAGTTTCTCTGAAACTGGTGTGTGTGTGTGTGTGTGTGTGTGTGTGTGTGTGTGTGTATATATGTATGTGTATATATGTATGTGTATGTATGTGTATGTGTATATATATATATATGTGTGTGTGTGTGTGTGTTAACCCTAGCTGGACCTGGCACCCAGACCACTTCATTAAGCTGAAGTGGTCTGGGTGCCTAGAGTGGTCCTTTAAGTATTTAAATGATTAGAGATATATATATATATATATATATATATATATATATATATATATATATATATATATATATATATATATATATATATATATATATATATATATTACACACAAGTTTTCTAAATGAGTTGAGTAAGAGGTGGCAGTCAGGAAGGGATATAGAGAAAAGGGGCTTGGCTAGGCTCATTAAGTGGGCATGCAAAAAGATAGAATTGGTGGGCAGACAAAGGTACATATAGAAAGGGGATGGCAAGAGCCTGGAAAGGTGACGTGAAGGGGCATGGGGTACATGCACACTAATGTACTTGCGCTGGTCAAGGAAAGTTCCACGGTGTCTCTGGGTGTATGACACCAGGGAACTAAATCAAGACGCTGGAGCAGAACCTTGAAATCCGGACTTTCCCACTGAAATTAGGGTTTTTGGGAGCCCTGAAAATGGTATGCAGTTAGTTGGATCTTGATCTCTGTAGGTAGATATATAGCAATGAGATGGCACATTTAAAACGGGGAACCCTTGAATACCAAACTATTGCTGTAAGGACAAGGATTCCTATTCAATTAAAATGGTCTGTTCTATCAGGGAAGGCCAAAATTTTTATCGGTGAACTGGTTCAGAGTTCCTAATGTCATTATTGTATCTAAATGGTGGTTTTTGTTTAAATTCTTCTTGAGTTCTCAATGTTCTGACCTGTTGCCCTTTTTGTCTCTGCAGCCTCTGATAACAGCCAGCGCTTTCAAGAAACTTGCTTTGCATTTGCATTAACCCCGCAGCAAGTTCAGCAAATCAGCAGCTCCATGTAAGTCTGTTTCTCCATCACCCTCCTAAATCTCCCCTATCCCTCGCCATTCCTCACTTGGCAGTAGTATATCTCCTAATAGAATCAGTGTGCTGAATGAAGACTAAAGTTACAGCTGAGACTTCAAGGGATTTAAGCGTTGTTTTGATAGATTTGGCAGTGGTAAATTATCTTTTGTAGCATGTAAAGATATTGTACGTATTTTTGTGGTATAGACACGCTTGCGCGTGTGTTATTTATATATTTTTCATGGCTGTAACAATGTTTTCTCCATTTTTTTATTTTTTTTTATTATTTTTTTTTTTACACTTCGGTGATCTGGAGTAAAATAATGCCATTCTTTCCCTAGATCAGTAGCGAATTCTGGTCAGATCATATGGGCAACACTCAAAATAATGTATATCAGCCTACCTAAAATTCGTCATAGATCCTCTGATATCCCCTTCGTTGGTTGTAAAGTTGTTTACATGTACTTCATGGGCATTCTGGTTAACTAATTCTCAAATTTTTCTTAATGTTTTTTTTTTTTTCTATTTCCAGGGATATCTCTGGGACAAAGTGTGACTTCACAGTACAAGTACAGCTTAGGTGAGTGATATATAATTAGCAGTAATGGGCAAGTTGTACTAATATATGTCTCACAAAGTGACATATGCTAAATGTTATTAAAGGATCTCAATGCACCATAGCCACTACAATGTGCTGTAGTGCCTATGGTACCTGGAGTGTTAACCCCCCATTTATCCTTGATGCTATGCAAGGAATCTTATCTGATGTTGAATAGAGTAAAGATTATGCTGACAGAAAATATTCTGATAAAGTATCAAAAAATCCAAATCCGAATTTTTTTTGGCTTGCACTACTCAGAATCAACTGGTCCACCTTCTTCAGTTAACTGTGTGGTCAGTAGGATTCTTTACTGGTCCACCTTCTCTAGTTAACTGTGTGGTCAGTACAGTAGCGTACTAAGGGGGGGAGGGCGCGGTGGGGGTGGTCCGCCCTGGGTGCCACTCACTAGGGTGGTGCCCGGGGCGAACTTTCACAGGGGCGTCATTCTGATCTAGCAGCAGCAGGTCCTCTGTTCTCGTTATCCGTGAGAGCGTTGCCGCGGGTTGCCATAGGAACCTGCTGCTGCTGCTGGATGGGAAATAAGCATGCAGAGTTCTGGGCCCCTCTTCACTGCCCATCTAAAGCTGTGCCACCGGACCACCAATCGAGGAGGATTGGACGGGCAGGTAAGTGGCAGCACTTATTTCACACCTCATAATCACCACATCTGCATACACTATACGCACACTGCATACACGCACAATACAAGCGCACACACTGCATCCACTATGCAAACACACACTTATACCTGTGTATCTGTATGTGTGCCTGTGTCTCTCTCTGTATGTGTGTTTGTATCTGTATGTGCGTCCGTATCTGTGTATGACTGTGTTTCTATATGACTGCATGTGTGTATCTGTATGTGTGCCAGTGTGTGTATATGTGAGCATATGTGTATACGTACATAAATCTCAGCATTTCGTCTACACTACACACAAATACAACCCTGCATCCAAATGTCAACACTACATAGACACCAACATATTCAAAAACCACACTACAGAAAAATGCACGCCTGCATTCAAATGCCAATACGTTCAAACACACCCGTACAGTCACTCACACAAACTCCATACAAAAACATGCTTACATTAAAAATATACAAACCCTGCTCAGTGCCAAATACATTTAAAAAATGTGCTGTTGTTTTTTAAATTTCAAAGTTGGGAGGTGGGTGGGGGGGGTGCCAAATAAAGGATCCGCCCCGGGTGCCAAATGCTCCAGGTATGCCCCTGGGTCAGTAGGATTCTTTACTCCCAATTCTACGATCCAGTGACCCAGTATGAGGATTAAGTGCAGAGAGACAAACGTGCAAAATCTTTGCTTTAAAGTGCTTTATAAGCCTAAAATGTAGTCCAATTATAGTGTATCATCTCTGAAAAGCAGTCAATTTCTGACTGGCCACAAGATGCCAGTGTTTCAGAAAGAACATTGCTACAGGAACCAGATCCATTGTGTCTTATTTACAAGACTTTCTATATGGTACATCAATTCCTTATTGTATACAAATCCCAAAATCCCCACTCTTAAAAAATATATACTGTATTCTTTTCAGTGTGTTGTTGTACCTGTAACTATAACACTAAAACATGTACTCATTAACACTTGCATGCAAAATGAACTTATTTCTTCACTAGGGTAATATAAATATGTATTTCAATGCAATCATAATTTCTTAACAAATATGTAAAATTTCAATCATCCCTGAGGTATCCATTTTGCTGTTACTGCCTTTCTGCCGTAAAGGTGTAGTAGTCCCTGTTGCCATTTAGTTTACATTCTTGAAAGAATATTAATTTGTATTGCTACAAACAGTTATGTAGGCCAGTGGTTCCCAAACTGTGGGCACACAGGGGAGCCGCAAGTTATTTTCCCGGTGCTGTGATGATAGCACCGGGAACTGGGCTCTTCCCTGCCGGCTCTGCATGACCGGAGGGGAGATCAGAGATCTCCCTCTCCGGCATGCTAGCACTTTGCTGACTGCTGGCAGGGGAGGGAGAGATGATCCGGTGGAGCTCTAACATGCAGCTCCGCAGGGTTCTCCTCTTGTGAGCCCAGAGCGTTGCCACGGTTGCCACGGCAACGCCCTGAATCTCTCGAGCGTGAACTCTAGCAGCTCCCGAGGCTGATAGAGTTCACTGTCCCCACCAGGGATTGCAGGAAATGTCCCCCCTCCCAGGCAAAGGTAAGCAGGGAGTGGGGGGACATCTATGTTTTTGTGTTTTGTTTTTTCTTCACACACACGGCCCCTATCCCGGCAGACCCCAGGTAAGTTGTCAAACTGTTCTTAAACCGTTTGACTACTTACCCTGGAAGGGCACTACTGGCACCATGACCACTACAACGTAATGTAGTGGTTATTGTGCCTGGAGTAATTTTTTTTTTTTTTTTTTAAATCTACCAGTGCCACTCCCAAGATTAGGGGCACAGTATATGCTGCAGCGCTGTTCATATATACAACCTAGAAAATTGTTTTGACTTTAGGTGCCTTGGAAAAATATTACATAGTTATATAGCTGAAAAGAGACTTGCGTCCAAGTTCAGCCTTACTCACATTTGTTTTTTTGCTGTTGATCCAAAAGAAGGCAAAAAAACAGTTTGGAGTACTTGCACCAAACTTCTTTACCCTAGAATGTCAGCCAGATTAAGCCTTGGATCAAGCAGCTATTACCCTACATTTAAAGATTATATCCTTGAATATTCTGTTTTTGCTAGTATGCATCTAGTAGCTGTTTGAACATCTGTATGGACTCTGATAAAACCACTTCGTCAGGCAGAGAATTCCACATCCTTATTGTTCTTACAGTAAAAAAACATTTTCTTTGCCTTAGACGAAATCTTCTTTCTTTCAGTCTAAACGCATGACCTATGTAAAGTACAGTTTGTGAATAGATTTCCACTTAATAGTTTGTATTGGTCCCGAATATATTTGTATAATGTTATCATATCCCCTCTCAGGCAACGTTTTTCTAAACTAAAGCAGTTTAAATTTGTTAACCTTTCTTCATAGCTGATATGTTCCATTCCTTTTATTAATTTTGTAGCCCGCTGTTGCACTTTTTCTAGTGCCATAATATCCTCCTTTAGAACAGGTGTGCAAAATTGCACAGCATATTCAATATGTGGTCTTACCAGTGATTTATAAAGAGGCAAAATTATATTCTCATCCCGAGAATGAATGCCTTTTTTCATGCATGACAGTACCTTACCGGCCTTAGCCACTGCTGATTGACATTGCACATTGTTGAATAGTTTGCCTATAACAATTCCCAAGTCCTTTTCGTGTGTTATCCCTAATTTGCATCCATTAAGGTTATATGTTGCTTGTGCATTCTTTACACCGAAGTTCATAACTTTGCATTTTTCAACATTTAATTTCATCTGCCATTTGAGTGCCCAGTCTATCTAAATCCCTCTGCAGCAAAGTAATATCTTGCTCACATTGTATTACTTTACAAAGTTTTGTGTCATATTGAAATATTAAGGGCGCCTTGAACCTAATACGTTTGGGAACCACTGGTGTAGGCAATAAAAAAATAAAAAATCAGAAAATAACAAATGTTAAAATAAAGTGTGTTAATCCTAAATCTCAATAATATCACAATGTCCTTGTCTTTCCAGGTTCTGCCTCTCGGAAACCAGCTGTCCTCAAGAAGATCACTTTCCACCCAATCTGTGTGTGAAAGTAAATGGGAAGCCATGTAATCTACCAGTAAGTGAGCCCTATTGAAATATAATCAATGCTTGCCTTAAACAAAAATAAATCCCCCTATTCCTCCATCAAACCATGGGCTCTTCTAAAGAATTGTTTCTCATACAGGGTTATCTTCCACCAACCAAAAATGGGGTTGAACCAAAGCGACCAAGCCGACCAATCAACATTACCTCACTTGTGCGACTGTCTACAACTGTTCCCAACACAATTGTGGTGTCTTGGACAGCAGAAATTGGAAGGGTAAGCATGTCCCTTGAGTTTACTTTATTTTTTATTTTATTTTTGTCTATAAATGTTAAGCTTATTTTATTCTTAACACATTCTCTTTGCTGGATATGAAACCTATTCCTGTGCGTACATCCCTCTGATAAATTCTCAGTTATAGTTATAAAACTGGACTACAAAAAAGGATTGTGAGTTCAAGCAGTGAAATATTGAAGGAATATATAACATTAAGCATACAAACGTGTATTTCTAATGCTATAGTTATAAACTACCAATTTAGGTCAATAAAAATTGGGGCGATGTGACGGACCGCCTGGCACTCCGACAGAGTACCTCCGTCAATTGATGCTCCTAGCGCTCGCTGAGGACTTCCAGCACTTCAACCGACACCATCAACACTGCAGACCCCACTTCCAGCGATGCAGCTGCGCCGGGGTCTTGTCATCCTTAACCCACCCTGGACCCAAGGCCAGGATCCAGCTTCCAGTGGGCAGGCCTCTCTTCCTCCTGAGAGCATAGCAGGAACAAGCACAGCTCTTACAAGAGCTATCCCTGGGGAGTATAGTGTGACTATAGCAATCCCCAAGAGTGTAGTTCTCCAATCCCCAAGCATGAAGGGTTAAAGCAGGTCTGTTTAATGGCAGCAAAATACTCACAATTTATGTAGTGTTTCAGGCCAGAAGCACACCCCCTGGATCAATGGTACACAAGCAAACAAAGAATACAAACCAATAAGAACACTGTAATAATGCCACATACAGCAAACAATCCCTCCCCTCTGCCTGTGATATAATTAAAATAGCTAACACAATAAACTAATTATCTAAAGGCAGAAACACATAAGCCCAGAAAACACCCCAAAACATAAGATACCCCCATAAATCATATATCACTGGATAGCCCTGATCTGGGTGAACAAAATATTCAAAAATCACCCAGATCAGAACAGGGGTTCAGAAGATCCATGGAAGTCTTTTTGACCGACCGCACGCACATTTTCATGCCCAAAACAGTTCCACAGATTTGGGCTGTGCGGTCAGTCTATTCATCCCAATGTAAATGTCATTTGAATGCACGAACAGATGCCGCTCGTGTAAATAGCAATGTCAACTTGGCGTTCGAATAGTCGAACGCTATTAGACTCCATTCGAATGGTAAGCGTTCCAAAGTTGGTAAAACTTCAGCGGTGTTCGTGCCGTCAAGTAGCCGTTTTCAGTTCCATGAACTCGACGGCAAAACACAGCTGACCGCGTTTGGCTGAATTAAAATGGCTGCCGCCACGTGTTCGTTTGTTGAATGGCGGCTACTTCGGCACTTCAGCTGCATCCGAAGTGCCAATTTAAAGTTGCAGAAGTACTTAAAGGGCCAGAAAAAATAGTTTAAGGTCCAATAAGCCCAAACAGAGCTTTTGAAGGGCAATACTGTCCAGGGGCCATAATCGCAGGGCAAGAGGCTGGCAAGCAGGCCCCTCCAAGCACAAGTTACGGTTTACTAGAAATGCAAAATTGTTTCTTAAAACTAATGTAGCACAATCTGGAAAATAGATAGATATTCTGAATGGCCTCTACATTTTTAACAAGGGAGGTTTTTTTTTCATATTTATTTTTTTTCAAGCTTCCATTTTCTGCCATAACTTGACACTGATGGTCAGTGTTACACTGGTAATTGGAAATTTTCTACAAGTCTTGGGTTAAAGGAGCAGTTCGGCCACCATAGCAACTTCATCTCAAGGAAGTTATGGTGCCACAAGGTCGTGAATTGTGAAGAGTGTGCGTGTCAGCTTCTCCCTCTGACTTCCCTGAAATTTCAGAGGGTTCAATGAGGGCATCGGACTGGGTGCCACTGATTAAACTTTTTGAGGGAGAGATTTTGCTACTATAATGACCTTGGCTCCGTGCTGCACATTATAGCCCGCTGCATCAGCCTCAAAGCAAAATTCCGAAAAGAATACAATCTGTACTCATGCTAGCACATTAGTTTTATTTAAACGATACTGTTTATATAACTTAGATCTTTAAAGTAGTTTTACTTAAAAATCCTACACTTAAAGGGACACTATAGTCATCAGAACAACTACAGCTTATTGAATTTGTTCTGGTGAGTAGAATCATTACCTTCAGGCTTTTTGTTGTAAACACAGTCTTTCCAGAGAGAATGCAGTGTTTACCTTACAGCCTAGTGATAACTTCACTGGCCACTCCTCAGCTGTTAGAAATCCTTCCTGGGTCATGGCTGCCTAAAATGCATCCAAACATTTAGTATCTCCTCCCACTGCATGCAGACACTAAACTTTCCTCATAGAGATTCATTGATTCAGTTCATATGTATGAGGAGATGCTGATTGGCCAGGGCTGTGTTTGAATCATGCTGGCTCTGCCCCTGATCTGCCTCCTTGTCAGTCTCAGCTAATCCTATGGGGAAGCATTGTGATTGGATCAGGCCACCACTTCTGATGATTTCAGCAGACCGCTTGTTTTTCTGAGGCAAACAGCATGTAGAGCTGTTTTGACTTACAATATTAATCGTAAATAATTCTAAAACTTTGTTTGCTAAAAGTTGTTTACATGTGCAGGCCATATTGCAAAATACTGGAGTACTTGGTTAACATGAATACACTAAACTGTAGACAAAACTGATATTCAATAAACACAGCTTGCTTTGAAAATCATGGCATTTAAAAAGCTAAAACCTATTTTGAAGGACTTCTACAAGCTTTAGCTTACTTGGCATATATATTCTAAATGTAGACTAAATTTCAAATAAGACCCATCCCAATTTAATTTCTCCCCTTTTGGTTTTTCTTTCCTCAGTCTGGAATAGCCTCTTGTCCTTTTCTTTCATCTTGCCTAGAATTGCATTTCCCAGCATGCTGCCATATCCATGATGCTCCGTGTCCTCATTTCACCTTGTTTTCCTTGTACATAATGTTTGTACAGATGAATAGGTTGGCTGTAATTCTTCTATCTACTCTTTGTGTGAAGGCACTTTACATCTGATGCAGGTCAAGTAAACTTAAATCAGAAGAGCAGTAGATGGAAGACTGGTGGTTAAGTGGGAGTCTCTTAATCTCATTTTTGCACCCCCTACTGAGCTCAGAAAAAAATCCACACAGTGGTCGTTTTTTTTTTTGAGACGTGTGTGTGTGTGTGTGTGTGTGTGTGTGTAATTAATAAATAAAAAAATAAAAAAAAAATATATATATATATATAAATATATACAATATAAATATATACAATATATATATATATATATTGTATATATTTATTATACACAGTTGCAAGAAAAAGTATGTGAACCCTTTGGAATGATATGGATTTCTGCACAAATTGGTCATAAAATGTGATCTGATCTGATCATCATCTAAGTCACAAAGCATAGAAGAAAATCAACAACAGAATGGCTTAAACAGAAGAAAATACGCTTCTGGAGTGGCCCAGTCAGACTCCTGACCTCAACCCAATTGAGATGCTGTGGCATGACCTCAAGAAAGAAATTCACACCAGACATCCCAAGAATATTGCTGAACTGAAACAGTTCTGTAAAGAGGAATTGTCAAGAATTACTCCTGACGGTTGTGCATGTCTGATCTGCAACTACAGGAAACGTTTGGTTGAAGTTATTGCCGCTAAAGGAGGTTCAACCAGTTATTAAATCAAAGGGTTCACATACTTTTTCCACCTGCACTGTGAATGTTTACATGGTGTGTTCAATTAAAACATGACATTTCATTCTTTGTGTGTTATTAGTTTAAGCAGACTGTGATTGTCTATTGTGACTTAGATGATGATCAGATCACATTTTTTTACCAATTTGTGCAGAAATCCAGATCATTTCAAAGGGTTCACATACTTTTTCTTATATGTGTGTGTGTGTGTGTGTGTGTGTGTGTGTGTGTGTGTATATGTGTGTGTGTGTGTGTGTGTATAAAAATAATCAGGAAGTGGAGCAGTGCACAAAGTATGTTAGAGATCATTGCTTACTCTATTTAACCAAAGTGCACCCCATATCAAATGGAAACACTTTAATTATGTGGTTAATATTGTCTTTCTTATTTATTTTTTTTTGTTTCCTTGTAGATGTTTTTTATAGTTGTGCTTTTTTTTTTTTTTTTTTTTTTTAATAAATAACTTGTAGAACTCATTGGCATTTTGCTAAGTCTGCTGTACTGGGTTCTTGTGGCCCCAAATACACTGGTTACATTGCACGTGAAGCAGTGTGTTAAGGGTCTGTAAGTACTCACTGCATCAGAGCGAGCTCAATTCAAAGCAGACATAACTGTTCATTTAATTTGCCATCAATCTGTTATAGTTGCGATTAGTGAGTTGTATTTCCAGTGTGCCTGACATAACACTCCATATAAATATATTGTATGCACTTTCTAGAGTTTGGCTGCAGTTCCCTGCAGATATTGGGCACTATACCTTGCCATAGTTAGAGGAAATGCTTGTGGTGCCCTCTCTTGGGCTCTTGATATTGTAGCAAATCTAATTGTCTTTACTTGGTAATGCTGTAAAGTTATTACATTGTAGTAATTTTAAACATGTCCTATTTATTTACAGCAAAGATTCTGTCCTCTTAATTATTTATTTTTCTCCCAGAATTTCTCCCTTGCTGTTTATCTGGTCAAGCAGCTGTCATCGTCCATATTATTACAGCGGTTACGAGCAAAAGGCATCCGCAACCCAGACCATTCCAGAGCACTGAGTAAGTTTAGTCTTTCCCTGGGATATTCTTCTAGCTGTTTACATTGTTGATCCTGATAAGTTCTGTATCTGGGAGCGTACATATTAACTTTAGCTGGATCTGTCGTCTTCTAAAACGCGCACACACCCCGCTGTAATATTCACAGAAAATTGGTTTAAGCTGGAGGCCATGACGGTGCGTGTCAGACCTGATGCTGTTTTTTTGTGAATACATTTTATTACCATAGGTTTCATAGATTTCATTGGAGAATTGCCATTTGTTTGACCTATCCTTCACCGTCTTGTGTATTAATAAAAGAAATCTATTAATTCTTGCATTAACTTAATAATAAAACATTTAAACTAAAGTCAAAGAACTTCTAGAAAACAAAGGAATGCATCTCCTAACTGGCAACAAAACTCTTATTACTACCAGTGTGGCTTTTGCGCAGATCTTGGTACAAAGGGGGCAATACCAGACAAGTACCATATTCTAATGCAAGTCACTTAGGCCGAGACAGGTGGAATAGTTGAAAATCCAAGCGTCTTTAGGAATGCCTCCAGCTGTTCTCATTAGTCGAACCTTTTTTTTTTTTTTTTTTCCTTCAAAGTTTTTGATTTAAATTTCTCAACAACTATGGTAATTAAAAATAGATTACCTTACTAGTTCTGATTTGTTAAATGCCTACAACTAAGAGGGAGACTTTTGCTGATCTTTATGCTCCTCTTGTGGTTCAACCCAGCGTTGATAACTTTCAGGAGTTGTTCATGCAGGGATTCCCTATCAGGCTATTTTCCAGCCTTGCGGGTATTCCTCTTTCCAGTGATATCCCAATATGTTGAATGCATTTGTTAGCTGCGTGCAGCTTTCAATATATTTTACATCTTATGGATTAGAGTGGGGCTGCTAAATATGGCCCCTGCAGAAAGAGCGGAGCCCTCTAAATTAAAATTTGAATCTCCCCAGTAACTGCAGGGACCTAATCCTGCTGGGACACAATTTGCATGAGGTCCCATGACATGGTGACTGCATGTTACTACATTATCCATCAAGGGAATATATGGTCCTGAAAATAAAAATCATTACTTTGGGATTATAGTCTTCCTTCCTGCACTGCCAACACCCTTTCCCCTAATGAATCTAAATATTGGCTTGCTTCCAGCACCAGAACTCCTGTCAGGAAGACCCACTAGAGGCTTGTATTAACCCATTAAATGACCACTATAGGCACCCAGACCATGTCAGCTCAATGAAGTGGTCTGGGTGCCAGGTGCCCCTCGTTTTAACCCTGCAGCTGTAAACATGGCAGTTTCAGAGAAACTGCTAGGTTTACATTGAGGGTTAATCCAGCCTCTAGTGGCGGCTTCCGCAATCCTCAATGCGAAAATAGCATTGAGTAATGCTTTCCTATGGGCGGTTTGAATGCGCGTGCGGCTCTGGCTGCGCATTCGGAGTTGACGTCGGCAGGGAGAGGAGAGGTCACCAGCGCCAAATGAGCCCGGCGCTGGATTAAGGTAAGTGACTGAAGGGGTTTTAACCCCTTCAGCCCAGCGGGAGGGGTGTCCTGAGGGGGTTAACCCTATAATGCCAGGAAATGAGTTTTTCCTAGCACTATAGTACTCCTTTAATGTAAAAGTTGCCATTTTATTTTTATTTATTTTGTTACAAAATGGCAGTTTTTCCACTCTGTAGGGCTAAAAGTACAGGACCATTGCACCCAGATCACTTCATTAAAATGTAGCAGTCTGGTCGTTTGGGGCTCTTTAAGGGGTTAAAATGCTGAAAATACCGTATTTGTACCTGTTGATTAATGACACAATTTGTGTTGGTGTTTGTCAGTGTTTTTTATTTAATATATTTCATCTGTATCTCTAGTTAAGGAAAAGCTCACAGCTGATCCGGACAGTGAAATTGCTACAACCAGTTTACGAGTTTCTCTCCTGTGTCCGGTAAGTGCATTAACTTTATTATGTATGTATGTGTATTTTTTTTGCATAAAATAATCATTAAATGTTTGTATGGTGCTGCATAATGTGTTGGATCTTACAAATCCCAATAAAAAAATATAAGAACATGGAATTAGAAAACTTGTACATCTTATGAACTAGATTAATTGGCATGATATGCATTGCAATGCACAATTGTAGATTATGCTAACGTAGTGTACCTTGTCAGAGTATTTATATCGGCAGACATTTTGTGCTATGATAGAAACTAAAAGTGTATATTCTGAGTCACTCTGAACAGATCAGACTCCATTTTGTTATTTTCAAATTAACAAAGAAGACACTAGATTTCTTTCTGTAAGACTGGCCTCTTTGCCAGAGCTAAGGAATGCATAGTATAAACAAGTGATAAGAAGATAAATCAAATCTAAACCCAGACAATTGTGACAGAGAAGATTAAATAATTTAATATTTAACTGTCTATATATATATATATATATATATATATATATATATATATATATATATGGTACCATTGTATGGAAAAGGGTAAACTTAGTTCATGATCTGTCATATCAGAAATTATGGCAGGAATTGCAGACGCTAAGTCTGGACAAAACTTTAAGAAACCCTTTGAAATCTGAATTATGACCACTATCTAGATAGGTCAAAATGACGTCAAAATAGTCACCAGGAAAAGTTAACTCTTTCCTGGATAGGTATGTTTAGTGGGACAAGACTGCCCTCTATAGACCAAATACCTAATTTGCGATCTGGAAGATAACCACACCTCTAGTGCTTCTATTGGGTTATCAACTGATGACGTACAGAGAGTCTGGCCCTTTAAAAGTTAAGACAAAGGGAAGATAGAGATAGGAGGCAGATGCAAGAGATGCAAAGAAAAAGAGGAGAGAGGAATTGGAAGTTTGGGGACTCCAACCTCCATGCAGAGAGAGACATCCAAATAAGTTCCTGAGACTACCAATCGGATGAAATATCTACTCAACTGGTAATTATACTGGTTTCATTTATTTAAATTAAATTAATTAAAATATATTAATAGCATTATATATGACTGGATAAAGCACAGTCAGATTTCCATATTAAGAAATCTTAGTTAACTAAGAATATATAGTTATAAACATTCCATTCTGCAGGTGGAATTAAGAATAATTATATATTGATGTGATATTATCACGTGTTAGCATACCGCTGTTTTTATCCAGGTGTATTGATTTGCTCTAAATTAAGATAGATATCTTTTAGACAAATTAAAAATCTGCTTATATAATATGGTAAATTCTCTTATTGGATGATTTCAGGAAACGGCTAATGAACTGGTTAAATGTTATTTTATTTAAAAATTACATAAGAATAGATCTGAACTACCTAGGAGATCTAGCCAGCATTGAAAGGGTTATTCTAACTGTCTGCTAAACTTTACGACCTTACGCTGCACTCTGAGGAATTCTGTTCTTCTGTGAAAAGTTTTACTTTCAGTCTGTGTTAAAGATAGTAATAAATAAGTCTTGACAGATAATGCTGTTTTAGCCATTGAAACGTAATACCCATTCCTTTGTATTGCATATCATTTTATACTGGATATTCATTGATTATTGTCATGCATGTTGCATAATATTATTAATTAATTTGTCATATAAATAAAAATCTATTTTTATACATGGTGATATTAATTATATGAAATACATTCCACTTAACACGATAAACGTTCTTTGGGATCTGAGAATTGAAATAGTGGGCAATTCTCAACTGTTACTATTATTATCCCATAAATATCCCCACAACCTATAATCTTAATTTTAATAATGATAGGAGGCGAGTATTTTGCATGACTTTTTTTACTCATGCCTCCAGCAGCACAAGTCAATCAATAAACTTTTAACCAATCATAAGAGTACATAGCCATATATAAAGCTCTGATTGTCACATGACTTCCTTTCTTTGAATTGCTATCAGTCCACGTATCGTCAGTAGCTAAAACTTAAGTTCGTAGTGATATAGTGTTTCAAACTTGTTCCATGGAAAGTCCAACTTCAATAAAATCCAACTCCAAACGGGTTAACGCATATTGAACTGAAACTTGATCCGTAAAATCCATTATCCGGCTTGTCTTCTTCGGCGCCAATAGCAGCAATCACACTGAAAGAAATAGAAACATGTGTAAGAGACTGGAAATAGACTGATGTCTATATAATATCATTGATACTATATCTATCCATATCCTATACAAATAGTAATAACCTATCTCCATATACTAGCATCCAACCATAATATCAACAAATCCTTGTCTATTACCTCAAACATCCCATACATATCCTCTAGATAAACTATGCAGGTTACAATTAAGCAATAGAAATGGTGACATGAGAAAACCAGAGAATGGGAGGGAAGGGAGGGAAAATACTCGCCTCCTGTCATTATTAAAATTAAGATTATAGGTACACTACGTTGGCATAATCTACAATTTTATTACATGACAGGTGGTTTCCTATTTTGCATCTTTAAAGCTGAGATAATAGCGAGAAAGATGCATGTGTGTTCTGACGAAAATAAAATAAACGGAAGGTATCCTCCCGTGTCCAGTCTGCGGAACGTAGGATATCTGCTAAAGAAGCTCCCGCCGAGAACGCTCTCGAGGCAGCCGCGCCCCTGACAGAGTGAGCCCCAAAACACGTCTCCACTCCTGCTAGGGACAGGATCCAACGAACCCATCGAGCCAGAGTAGTAGTGGTAACTGTTTTGTAAGGTTTGGTGTAAGACACCAACAGCTGCCCTCTGCTAAAAGCTTGAATGCTTGCAGTAACCTCCACATATCGTGTAAGTGCGGAAACTACACATAAACGAGGGACCGTAGGGAAGAAGGGATAAGATATAGATGTTGAATTTGTTTTGGTTCTACGAGACACCGTGAAGGTAACCCCTTCTGGTGAGATCGAGAACCCGTCCACATCGAACGCTCGCACGTCCGAAACCCTTCGAAAGGATACCAAACATAAAAGTAACGTAAGCTTGGCCGAGAACTGTCGTAGTGACAAATCTTTATTGTCTGGCCAATTCCGAAGGAAGTTAAGGACCACCTCTACGTCCCACATGTGATTATACTTGGGTTCCGGCGGTCTGGACAATTTGATGCCTTGCATTAGGTGACATACCAAAGGGTCCTGACCAACCGGAGAGCCATGTACTGTTACGTGTGCCGCTGAAATTGCGCAACGCGTCACATTGGTGGAACGATAGGATTTTCCTTCCGTGAAGAGGTGCGACAAAAAATTTACCACCATGGTGTTAGGTGCTGTAAAGGGATCACAATTCCGTCCCAGACACCAGCGTTTCCATGAATTCCACGCTGATAGGTAACTCCGTCGGGTGCCCGGTGCCCATGAATACCATAAAAGATCTTTAGCTGGTTGCGATAGTCCCTCGACGGACCAGGCTCCCCTGAAAGACTCCAGGCTACCCGCTCCAGATTCTCCTGTACCACTAGTGGATGTGGTTCCCCTTTCGGATCTGTCAGAAGGAAGGGGACCGATGGAAGAAGTAATGGATGGTCCTGCGTGTGAGCCAATAATTCCGGAAACCATGCTTGACTCTTCCACAACGGTGTGATGAGAATCATCGAGATCTTGGTTGTTCTGATGCGATGGAGTACTCTTGCTATCATTGAAAATGGTGGGAATGCGTACGCTCCCCTCGGAGGCCACTGTTGTAGAAAGGCGTCTACTGCCTCGCATTGAGGGTCCGGAAGCCAGCTGAAATATTTTGGTAACTGTGTGTTCGTCCGAGAGGCAAACAGATCCACGACCAACAGACCCCTGAGGTCCCTCACGACTGAAAATACTGAAGTGTCCAGTCTCCAGTCGCTGCCGTCTCTCCAGTGACGAGAAAACCAATCCGCCATGAGGTTGTTGGATCCTGGTAGATATTCCGCTTTGATCGTAATGTTGCGGGGAATACAGAATTGATGTCCTTCGTCGCCTCCGTCAAGATCCTTGATCGGGCTCCTCCTAGGCGATTTATGTATTGGACCACGGAAATGTTGTCCATGCGTAGCAGGATGCAACAGTTCGCCATGTCCTTGGCTAGACTGCGAATCGCAAACGAATCCGCAATCAGTTCCAGGCAGTTGATGTGGAGACGCTGTTCCTCTTGAGACCATGGACCTCCCGTGGGTGCAGTGGGCTCCCCAGCCCCAAGGGCTCGCGTCCGACTCCAATACAAAGTCCAGGCTCGCCCCGAAAATGGCTCTGCTGTTCCAGGCTTCCATGTGCAGTAGCAAGCACCAAAGTTCCGTCCGAGCCTCCGTGGAGACATGAATCCAGTGATCGTATGGGTGTCCTGTTCGTAAATATTGGGCTTTCAGTCTCTGCAGTCTTTCAGTCTCTCGGGCCTGGGAAAATCGCTTGTATTGATGAGGAGCGTAGTCCTACTATCCTCGCTAATAGTCGGAGAGGTATGGTGTCTCTCCTGAGTATCCTTCGGATCTCCTTCCGAATGGCCGCTATCTTGGATGCGGGGAGACGTAGCATGCAAGAGTTGGAGTCTCTCGAACCCGAGGAACTGGACTACTCGTGATGGAGCCAATGATGACTTCTCTCTGTTCACTACAAACCCCAATGATTCCAGAAAGTGTATGGTAAATCTCGTCTGAGATTGAATTCTGGATTTGGAGTCGCCAAAGATCAACAAATCGTCCAGATACACGAGGCAGCTTATTCCTCTTCCACTCAGATGGGCCATTACTGGTTTGAGAAGTTTCGTAAAACACCATGGAGCCAAACTGAGGCCGAATGGTAGACATGTCAACTGGCAAGGGCGACCCCTCCAGATGAAACGCAGGAAGACTCTGCTTTCTCGAGCCATGGGAACCAACAGGTAGGCGTCTTTTAGGTCCAGGCGTGTGAACCAGTCGCGTTCGTTCAGTAGATCCCTCAGAAGGTGAATACCTTCCATTTTGAAATGGCGATAAGCCACAAATCCTTTCAGTTCTCGTAAGTTGATGACTGGGCGGTAGTCTCCAGTCTTTTTTTTTTTTCTTGACAACAAACATGTTGCTGAAGTAACCCTGGTCGTCTGGGGTGAGTTCCACCGCTCCCTTTGTGAACAGGGTTCGTATCTCCGTGTCTATGAGACGTCTCTGACGCCCGGATAGGTGATGGTCGCCTTATCTGAACCGGCGTACGGGTAAATTCTATCACGTACCCTCGCACGGTCTGCAGGATCCATGCGTCTGTGGAGATTCTTTCCCATTCCTGCGGAAAAAGGGACAGTCTGCCAGCAGTTATATTTGAAGGACATAACGGAAGATATTTCATGCTCACCTGAGTTGAAACGTCCCCGTCCTCTGTTCCGAGTGCCCCTTGTACGCCAGGATCCCCTTGTGAAGTTGGCTCTTGCAGATGGGAAGAACTGTTGCGTAGCGTATGGGCGACTGGGGCCGGATGGCCAGAAACGGCTGGTGGCCCGACCAGCTCTGCCAAAAACACCTTGAGTTGTCTGTGGGTTCCGAAAGACTTGTCTAATAGATGATTGTGCCTTATTCAGTGTAGTGAATAGGCCTACGTGCTTTTTCAGTTCTGCCATGAATGGTTCTCCAAAGAGCAGTCCATCCGCCAGGGGGCCTAGCTCCTTCTTTCCCAGGTCCAACAGTTTGGAGTCTCTTCAATAAGGCCGCTTTACGGCGTTCTGCGCACATGGCGGCATTGGAATTCCCTTGTAGGCAGATCGCTCGCTGTGCCCATTCTCTAATGTCGTGTGCCTCGAGGGTCGTCCCCTGGGTGAGTGCCAAATCTGCGAAGTATAGGATCTTTGCTAAAGGACCTAGCATGTCCAGCATTTTGTCCTGGATCGATTTCATGCCCTTCTCAACACCTTTCCGTGGGTCTCTGCCCGAGCGGGACATAAACACCCCCACTGTGGCATCAAACTCTGGGGTGATGGCATCTTGTCCGGGACGTGGACACTCTGCTTTGAGCTTGGCCCGAACTTGCCCGAGCTTGTCCATTGGCTTCCTCAGCCAAAAATGTATAAATTGAGTCAGATGGTCCGGCAGGTTCCATTCTGACGATCTGGGGTGGCGTATCTGGCGTAGATCGAACAAGGGGTTACCCGTCCCATCCAGAAACACCCCATCTTCATATACCTCCGTATGCACTTTATGTGTGCTTTTGCCGCCTGAGCGGTGTGCCCGTTCGGGGCCTTGGTCGCATTCTCCGCCCTCCTGAGGCATGTCCTGCCGGCCCTCCTCCTCCGAGGGGGAATCCTCTGCCCTCCATTCGTCCATGATTTCTAATGAAGGTGGAGATAATGGCTCCTCATCCCCTGAGGAAGGGGGCTGTGGAGGGGAGCAGTCCGGGCGCCTAGACTGGTGGCTCTGCTTCCGCAACAGCTTCCCCCTCCCATCTCTGCAGGGTCGTGTTGGATCCCTTCCATTGTCGTTTGTACGACCCAGCCTCCGCCTTGGACTCCGCGGGTTCTTTATCCTCTTTTCTCGCTGGAGGCGCGGCGTCTGCCCCCTCCGGTTGTGGTTGCGCCATCATTTTGGCCAACGCCTTTTCCACCGAAGCCGACACTGCGGCATTGATCATGGTCTGGAAATCCATGGGCGATGATGGAGGAGCATCTGACATGGTGGCAGTTCGTTCTTCCCTTCTGTGGGTAGAAAGGGTATACGTCAGTGCGTATGTAGCTACACAGTGGCTTCCACGTACAACTGGGGGTCACCCAGGTACCATATAATCAGTACCACTAGGAGCTTGAGTAGTGGTCTGTAGAGGGGGTCACCCTCTCATTGACCGGGGTGCACGGTCGTTAAGGTTGGGACGTAGTGTCACCCTCATGCATGAAATGTGTGGAATTTCGCCACTGTGGGATCCTTTACCCAAAGGCAGTGAATTGCGTGGATCACCCCAGTTGTACCATGGAGGTGCCGCATACAATAAAGCGTACTTGTTATAAGCCCTTGAGTGGGCGTGATGATCACACCTGAAATTTTTTATTTTATTTTTTAATTAAATTATGTATCGTGTCTTCAGTGTGTGCACCCCTGTGGTTCCACCACCAGTGTCCTCAGTGAGAGCTAGCCAGTAAGTATTGCAGCCTGAGCAGGATGAGTTGCCAGTCAGGTGAGAGTGCTTGTAAGGGCTGAAGCTATAAGTATGCCTTTAATCTAGATGCTGCCAGTGAATAAGGGGTTAATGTTATGGATTACAGTATGCAAGAAAACCTTGTGGAAACATTAGGGGAAATCAGTAGGAAACTATATGCCAGTTCGTGGGAATCACGAACTGGCAACCTAAGATGGCCGCCGTTCCCGCTCAAATTTCGCCACGCGGTCCTGGCCGGCACCCCCCAGTTACCCCCCCAGCCCTTGGAGCCCTAAAATTCCACGAATCGCGAGGGACCAAACAGACCAGAGGCAAAGGAAAGTGCAGTCCCAGTTACAGGGTAAACCCCACAAGAGAAGCAACAACAATAAAGAAGCGGAGGGAGCAGGAAGAAAAACTGTAGTGTATTTAAAGGACCACTATAGTGCCCTGAGGGTGCCCCCACCCTCAGGGACCCCCTCCCGCCCGGCTCTGGAAAGGGGGAAAAGGGGTTAAACTTACCTTTTTCCAGCGCTGGGCGGGGAGCTCTCCTCTTCCGATCCTCCTCCTGGGCTGAATGCGCACGCGCGGCAAGAGCTGCGCGCGCATTCAGCCGGTCACATAGGAAAGCATTCATAATGCTTTCCTATGGACGCTTGTGTGCTCTCACTGTGGAAATCAGTGAGAAGCACGCAAGCGCCTCTAGTGGCTGTCAATGAGACAGCCACTAGAGGATTAGGGGGAAGGCTTAACCCCTTCATAAACATAGCAGTTTCTCTGAAGGGGTTAAGCCCCTGAAACTGCTATGTTTATGAAAAATGGGTTAACCCTAGCTGGACCTGGCACCCAGACCACTTCATTAAGTTGAAGTGGTCTGGGTGCCTAGAGTGGTCCTTTAATGGGGAACAGTAAAGGAGGGAATAAGCCAGCATCAATTAAGGAAACCGTAAAGTTGCACATATAATACACAAACAGTGAGAGCAGAATACTCTGACCTGTGCCTTGGCTGGAAGCAGCAAAGAAAGAGGAAGTCATGTGACAATCAGAGCTTTATATATGGTTATGTACTCTTTTATGATTGCTTAAAAGTTTATTGATTGACTTGTGCTGCTGGAGGCATGAGTAAAGAAAGTCATGCAAAATACTCGCCTCCTGTCATGTAATAAAATTAAGACATCTTTGCGTTAGTATCAATGCTGATAGGATGAATGTTAAATCAGTACCAGCCTTGAAGAGTGAACAATAATGTGCATAATATCTTCTGATGTGGATGTGTAATACACACCCTAACTATGTGGATTTGTGTGTTGAATTACTTGGTCTGCTTTCAGCCTATTGCAGTTCTGTTAATAAGTTTTTGACATTGGGATAGTTGTTGCTTACTGGTTTGGAGTGCACTCATTCTCTGGATTCTGGTGTGTGGCATTTACATCACTAAACTAGTCATTCCTGTTAACGTAGCATTGCTAATATGCTTCCGTTTTTCCACTATTCCTTCTCAAGATTTTGCGTGTGAAATCTTTTTATTTTGATACTTTTGTTCAGGCACAACTGTTTTTTGTTATTCTTTAATCTATACCCCGTTTTTGTTTTCAGCTTGGCAAAATGCGGTTGACCATCCCCTGCAGATCGCTGACCTGCTCTCACTTGCAGTGCTTTGATGCCACTCTCTACATCCAGATGAATGAAAAGAAGCCAACCTGGGTGTGTCCTGTCTGTGACAAAAAGGCTCCATACGAGCATTTAATCATAGACGGGTGAGTTCTTTTTATTTTCTTCATGTGCATTGAGCTCCATGGTACAACTGTAGGCGGCAGATGACTAAATTTCACGAAAGGATCTCGTTAAATTCCTGTTTTGGTTTTGCATATCTCTGAGTTCGCAATCATCTTCTAGAACCAGTTAACTTTCTGTCCCACCCTCACGTTATCCACACTTGCTTTAAACAATCCCTACATTTAAATAAATGATCACAACACCACTGAGGTACAAAAGGACCTGTTGTGTTGTTCGTGTCTGTTTCAGACCAACAGATGGTTCTTAGCATTGCCTCTATCATATGATAAAGGTATTTCCAGTGCGTAAAAGTAACGTGCCACTTCAAGCCTGGAGAGTCCATAGAACACTCACCAGGGTTGAATTTCTACACTCAAGGGCAGAATTTTTACTTGCAAAGGACTAGTAATGAATGAATATTTTGATCCCTAGGTCTATAAAATAATTGAAGATGATTTAATCATTTTTGTGTTTTGCATTTTGTTAGACTCTTCATGGAGATATTGAAATGTTGCACAGATTGTGATGAAATTCAGTTCAAGGAAGATGGGTCATGGTCACCCATGAAGTCAAAGAAAGATGTGCAAGAGGTCAAAAACTCTTACAATGGAGTGGACAGTAAGTGCCCATGATTGTCTTTACAGGATATAGCACTTCAGCCTTTATTAACAGAGCTGTGGTGGCTCACGTTATTGCATTCAATCAATTACCACACACCATGTATTACCACTCACATCACATATATAAATGAACAAGTTTTATAAAGTGGAATTGCCTGTAATATCCATGTACTGACTTTGCATACGTAAATGGTTTTTTTACGACCTCTACTAAATTTATGCCTATTCTCCCAATAACATTTAATTGATCTTTGCTGTGTAAACAAACTTTATTAGAGGTATATTTTCTATGGTTACAAAGATGGTAAAAGGGGAGGGGGGGTTATTATATCCTAGTTGATTTTACTGTGGCATGTGTACACTTACCACTGGTAACAGATCTTTCATTGCATCTTCTAAGTTGCTTTAACAATGTTGCAGGTGGCTGTATCAGCAGCACTGTGGATAATCAAGTGAGCTCTCATCAGCAGTCTCACAAAAACAAAAAGGTGGAGGTGATTGATTTGACGATAGACAGCTCATCTGATGAGGAGGAGGAAGAACCATGCCCGAAACGTAGTTGCCCGTCCATCACTCCAGCATCCCCAATTAGCAATAAGAGGTGTGTGTGTGTGTGTTATGTATTTGACTACCTGACTATCAAATATCTGAGTGCAGAGAGGACATGGAGGAAACCCATAGGACAATCCAAAATGATATAAGTGAGAATTTGAGAACACTGGAACAATGACATGTTTTAGGCTGGCCTGTCTGAATCTACACTATAATAAAGCCGAAACATCGTTGTGCTCACCTGTCCTGGAGTAATGGGGGGGTGGGGGGGAAGCAGAAGGTGATTGAAAATCATGTAACATGCAAAATGCATGAACTTAAGCAGGTTTATTCACTAAACTGTGAATTCAAGGCCATTGTAACCAATCTGAAAAAAGTCTATGCTTCCACTTTATTTAAGATTCAATTCTTGATAATTTTTTGACTTGCCAACAATTATCACATTAGTGAATAACACGTTAAGTGTGTTAAGGGCCATATAGTTATTTGTATCCATGTATGACAAGGTGCACTTAAGCATGCAGTTTATTGGGCATTATAACTTCAATACTACTTCAGGCATCATTGACCTATGAGCTTCAAACAACAATTTTACCAGTTTTGATGAATCGCTCATGCACCTTGCAGTCTCGCTGTTCAATTCTCTGCCATTTAAGCGTTAAATCACTTTGTTTATGCAGCCCTAGGTACACCTCCCCGCATGTTTATGAAGGCTGTGCATATTACACTTCCTGTAAAGTGAGATCTAATGTTTAATTAAACTTCACTTATTGCAGATTGTTTCATTTAGAATTTATCTCCTGCATTGTTAATAGTTTAAGATAGACCATGAAGAAGCCTCATGTGCATGAATAAAGTTAATTTACAGAAAAAGAGATAAAAACTGCTAATAAGTTGACATTGGAAATGTGTTTTTTTTCATGTAGGCTGTGTGACTAAAGGCTGTTTGGACAGAGACAAAAGTGATTTCACTTCTAAATGACAGAGAATTGACCAGAAGCATGGTCTATACAATAAAACTGCTTCATTAAGCTTAAGTTGTTTTGGTGACTAGTGTCCATTAACTGCAAAACCTCTTTTAAAAGACAAAACAAAAAACTTGCTTTCTGTATGGGTAGGAACAGGTGTAGTAGCCATCACTAGTTTTTAAAGCGCATCCTCCCATGCTTCCCTGCAATATGCAGTCAGCCAAGTGAAAATAGCACATTTAATGGGTGTAAATCCTAGAAAGATGTGACTGTAATAGCAGGAGAAATCCAATTACAATACAATGTTCAGTCATACATATATATATTTTTTTTATTTATTTTTTTCCTCCTTCCAGTATGTTAAGTCTCCCTCACCAGGCCTCTCCTATCTCTCGGACACCAAGTCTGCCTGCCGTGGATTCCACGTACATCAATACACCCCTCATCCAAGATTACAGACATCCTTTCCACATGGCACCCATGCCAGACTACTTACAAGGTACAAGCATAGAATGCGTATCATACTGTTGCTCTTTAGTCAGAACCCTTCTGGCCATGTGTCTTATATTCTAGGTGTCAGCATTAAATTAACAATGACTAAACCTGAGCTTCTAAGTATTCTCTTTGAATAAGAGAAACCAGATAAACATTTTTAATCCCTAAACCATTTCAATGCATACAGGGGTAATGCTTATGGCATGAGGATGTCGTACCCATTTTGCATCAGAGGGCTTTGCTTAATAAATCTATTCTACCTTCTTTCACAAGAAATGTTACCTTTTGTTTTTTGTTTTTTTTTATTTATTTTAAGGGTGTGGGGTGCATATATATATATATATATATATATATCATGCACCGACTCTCATACTTATGAGCTATATATTATTTAAAGTACGAGACTTCCTAGTAGTGTCTAGTGGGAGACCCATTTCACCTAAATGACCCTGGTCTCAAGAGCATCTCTTAGTAAAGTGAAATCTGCATTTGACTCAATCTTCTATTCTGGTCAGAGCAATGCAATGACCATCTGCACTGGAGCAGATGTAGTGCGAACGTGTCTGGTGGCAACTAAAGGCCAACTCAGAGATATGCAATGGTAAAATGGTTATTGCTTAGAACAACTTATTACTTATATATATTTTCCTTTTTTTTTTTCTTCTTTCATCTTCTATAACATGCATTTTAGTTTGTCAAAGCCATTTAAAGTGTTTCAACTCACTATTAAATTATTTGGCATTTTCTTTCCAGGACTGGATTTCTTTCCATTCTTATCAGGGGAGAACCAAGTAAGTCTGCGTTTTTGAGGAACGGTCTGTCTACAATAATAAAACTGGGGCAATTACAATGAACTCTAATTTTGTGTATATTTACTTTTTTAGTAATCTGCTTGTGTGTGCGCGCACGGGACATTTTTACAGTAAAGTTATCAAAAGCACCAACACATACCTAAATTAAATTCTCTAAAAATAAATGCTTAGTTCTTATATACCCTTTACCATTATTTATTTTGTCACTTTACAAGTGTCAATCATTAGAATTAAAAAAAAATTAATGACTGAAGTTTAAGGAACACTATAGTCACCTAAATTACATTAGCTAAATAAAGCCGTTTTAGTGTTTAGATCATTCCCCTGCAATTGCACTGCTCAATTCACTGTCATTTAGGAGTTAAATCACTTTGTTTCTGTTTATGCAGCCCTAGCCACACCTCCCTTGGCTATGATTGACAGAGCCTGCCTGAACAAAAAAATTGGTTTCACTTTCAAACAGATGTAATTTACCTTAAATAATTGTATCTCAATCTCTAAATTGAACTTTAATCACATACATGAGGCTCTTGCAGAGTCTAGCAAGCTATTAACATAACAGGGGATAAGAAAATCTTAATTAAACAGAACTTGCAATAAAGAAAGCCTAAATAGGGCTCTCTTTACAGGAAGTGTTTATGGAAGGCTGTGCAAGTCACATGCAGGGAGGTGTGACTATGGTTCATAAACAAAGGGATTTAACTCCTAAATGGCAGAGGATTGAGCAGTGAGGTTACAGGGGCATGTTCCATACACCAAAACTGCTTCATTAAGCTAAATTTGTTCAAGTGACTATAGTGTCCCTTTTAGGTCTAGTGGAACAGTGTTTGCTCCATTTACCTTATTACATCATTATGTTAAGCTTTAAAAAAACAATGTTGTATAAAGGCAACCCGTGATATCTTTTATATGTGTTACAATGGCAACCAGCGATATCTTACAATGTTTGAGAACTACCCTAAGTTTGATACCAGCCTGTCTTTTTATATGTCTATACGCTCACATATGTCCCCCTTGATGTTTTTGTTAACCCTTTCCAACCAAAAACGCACAAATCTAGCCACCGCAACAGAGCAGTGGGCCTGGCATGTCACTCGCAGACACTCGATCATACCCACGCAATGCTATAACCACACTAAGCAACATGCACCCATGGGAGTCAGCCAGCCCATATAGATACACTATACTCTATTTGCGCTCCCACACTAGGCGTACACGGTAACACGGTTGATTTGTAGATTCAGCCAGTATATCTAGGGGGACAGGAGGGGAGGCTGGCAAGTAACTACATATCATGGTCCCAGTCCAGACATCGTCACCATGCTACGTAACCTTATTGCTTTAACCATAATCTCTCTACCTATCACATAAAAATTGTGCAAGAACTTTCAAATACCCCTATAGTTTACTTTGTTGAAATGTTATGCATAAGGAATGCCGTTGGGGTACCTTGTGCCTGTTTGTAAACCTATAATTGCACTGCAAAATATATATACCACTAGATTGCCATACTTAATTTAAAAAATGCTTTAACACTGCTCTCACCTCAAAGCCACATATGTATAAATCTGTCATTGATGTGATTATGTTTGCTGTTGTGGAAACGTATATCATACTGTCAAACCATGCACAACAAAAATAAAAAATTCAGGTTTTTGAGTCAAGAGCTTGCTTAGCAGATAAGCTTCTCGAAAATGGTAAAGGGTTTTATTGTGGGTTTTTTGGGGAGGGGGGGGAAATGGATTAGAAGATCTGCATGTCTTGTTCCTTTCTCTAATGTAGCTTTTCCTTTATTTATTTTCTTCTTCTCTTTTTATACAGCATTACAATACTTCTCTACTTGCAGCAGCTGCCGCCGCAGCTACAGAGGAGCCTGATTTGCTTCATTCTTCGCGTTTCTTTCCTTACACCTCCTCTCAAATCTTCCTGGACCAGCTAAACGCAGGTGCAAGTGCTTCACTCCCAGCAACTAATGGAAGCAACAGTGGCAGTAACAGCAGTTTGGTTTCCTCAAACAGTATACGAGAGAGCCACAGTGCAGCAAGTCGGGGACCAGCAGACAGTTCGTCTCTCTATGGCATCATACCAGATGTAATCTCCTTGGACTGATGACCTGTTGAACATGACCCCTTTCACACACATACCCAGGACCCTGAATCCCATCCAGTACCCAGTTCCTTTATTTTATTTTTAAGGGAAATGCTAAAGATAAAACTACTAAAAGAAAACAAAAAGACATGTACAGAGAACAGAACTATATTTTCAGTTTTACTTTTGTATATAAACCGAAGACTTGACTCATATGGTAACAAAAACTGAGATATGGACCCACCTTTTCCCCTGCACTTCCATGTTAATTTTCAAACTGCACCCTGGAGACAGACTCTTGGTCCAGAGCTCTCCATCCCAGTTGGTATATGTTTTATTTTTCTTTCCCCTGGCTTCACGGCATTGCAAATCTAATTTAATTCCTCCTGGACCCCTTTACAGCAGACACAGTATTGGTTACTCTCTCCTCTCTGGCCCTGAGGGGTGAAATCATTAATTCCCTGAAGGATTCTCCATTCCTGAACCTAAGCTGGAGTGATATTTTGTTTTTCATTTAAACTCAGCACTTTTAACAAAGTATTTATTCTAATGGAAGTCACTGCGTCATATAGAGGGCAACCATAGCATTGGTTTCCTATGGTCAGTGTGGGATGTGGCTGGTGGATTTTGAGTATCATAATTTATTTTTTGTTTTTGCAAATAAGTGGAAATTTCAAAACCAAGCACATCAGTGCCCTACAACACTGAAAGTTGGTGTTGAAGTTTCAGTTCTAGCTGAACTGTATATGTGCAAGAAAGACCACAGTTTATAGTGTGACTCAATGTTCTATTCTCCTTTATTTGGCTAATAAATGTCATGGCTTTAACATTTAGATAATGGCACTGTATAGGAAGCTCCCTTGCTGTTAGGTTCTTTGATTGGGTAAGACTCAAAGGCATCTACATTGACTGTCATTAACTGCAGATTGCTATATACTTGTATGATCAAATCGTAGTTTGAACCAAATTCAGAATGCAGCCCTATGCCTGTATTTTGTGACAGTTAAAAAATAAAATATAAATACCCTTTTCAACTATGTAAAACATAATTTAGCCCCTACCTCACTCATATTGCCTTGATACAACCACATGTTTGCAGTCTACCAGCATTTTTATTTTATTTTTTTTATAAATAAGAAAAATGAAAGAAAACGCTGTTGGGTTCCACACAGATACCCAGAACAAGGGTATTTGTCCAGTTTTAATATTTTTATACATCTTATGTATATGACAAAATGTATTTTTGTTTCTATGCTACTATTTCAGACCCTGTCTAAAATATTGCATGTTAAGAGAATACCATAGAAAATCTATCACCTTTTTATTATCCAGTAGTTCTGTAAAGGAGGGATGAATGAATAAAGTACTAATTGTGTAAATTTGTATAATTTTACATTTCTAGGTATCCATGAACAGCAATCTTGCAGTTTTTGGACTACCTCTATACAATTAAGTATGTATCCCATATCTGTAATGTTTTTGTAATTCTTTCACCACTTTACTACAAAGTGATAGAATAAAAGATGTCCTATCCAGATTAGTTTTCACGCTAACTTAATGTTTTATGTGGATAAAACCCTGCACTAATTTCTGAAAAATATTGACTATTCAGGCTAAACTGGCTTCTAATTTTAATGTATTGGACAATTTTATAAACTGTTGCTCTAGATATAAAATAGTGGGGATTTAGTTACATTATTTTGCACAATCAGGCCACGACTCCAAAGTACCTAATTTTTTGTCTGAGGTCTTTAAATGTAATGATTTCTCGTAAGATAAATGTAGGCTGCCTCTGCTGTGCTCTGTAGTAGGGCATCTGGCAGGGAGATGAGCCATTACCTGAATCTCATGAAGTCTATTATTCTGCCTATGTAGATACACACAAGTATTCTGGGTGCAATGTGTACGGTATATGTTAGACCTTGACTAGAATGTCCCTGCAGGTTAATACAAAAGTATGAAAGGCAGGATTCAAAAAGCAATAAATGATCTTTTTTTTTTTTGAAGATGACCATATTCAAATTATTCCTGGTTACGCTCTAGGAATTATATGGAATATATGAACACAACCATATAATCACACATCTAAATAGTGCCTGCTCAGTCTTTTACCTTTAATGTATTACCTAGAGCGTATGCATTCATACAGACATAAAATGCACACATTGTTCCATTTTCGGTCGTCGTCGTCCTGTCCCTCCTCGGTCTTTCAGTGCTTATTTTGGTTCCCTATTTAAGACACAATCGTTCAACTTAACATTAAAGGAACACTATAGGGTCAGGAATCCAAACTTATTCCTGACCCTGTAGTGCAAAACCCACCCTTTAGGTTGCTTGCCCACCCCCACTCCACTTAGCCACCTTAAAGGTTTTGTTTTGTTGCTAGTAGAGCCTATTCTATAGGATGGTAACATTTTGTGTTCCTACTAGTGATGTAGAAATGGCCTGTGTCTCTAGGAAACAGACTTATGTAACAACTTCCCCAATCACCACCATGATTTCTTTGATGCCTACCACAGACTGTTAATTGGTGTATTTTTATAATAAGCTCAGGTACTTTGAAACATGAGCAGTGTGTGAGATTTTATATTGCCACATATGCAGTCTGTTTTGGCATGTTCAGCAGTATTTTTAAGCCTAACAAATAATTTTCACGATCAGAGGATGGTTACCGATAGATATCTATCTCTATTTACAGATGTCAAAACACCATTTGTTTATTGAAAAAAAAAAATGTATTGTCAAATACTGCAATACTGTTATTTGTGGATGTGTGTGGATGCAATACACACATACACGCTAGTCACAAGCTTCCTAGAATCTGTGTAAAAAAAAAAAAAAAAAAAAGCACATGGTATTCATTCAGTTAAACATTTCATTGTTGTTGCCAGTCAGACCTAAATAAGCTAATATAAACTGGAAGCAGCAACATTATTGCTAGACCCAGTTTTGATGATTCTTCTGTAGAAGAATTAAAAATAATAATAATTAAAATACTCTATAGAACATGTTAATTTAGTAGCAATATTTTTTATTTTATTTTTTTTACATTTTTTTTTTTATGGGATGTAGAGGCCTACCTCTCACCTGAGAGGTTAACCAGATAAGCAAACAAATGATCCAAGAATTCTTCCAATATTCTGTATTCTGAATGTGTGTTGGTTTCATTGGTATCATGGACTCCTTTGTGGGGGTTGGGGGTGGGTTTCTCCTCTTCTAAAACTCCCATTCATTGTCCTTGCCCAAGTTTGAGGACACTTAACGTCTTACAGACTGGCCATCTCAGGAAACCCATAGCTATTTAGAATTTCATGGAAAAGGTTGTTTTTTTTTTTTTAATTCTAAAAATTTTACGTTTTACCAAAACTCTCAAAGTGAAGGTTCTTTGACCATGCCTTGAGTAGCCTCAATAAAACCTTCTGAAAACTGGAGAGGGGGTGGGGGGCAGTGCCATGATGTTTCACTTTTACATCTAGATTGGATGATGCTTTAAAAGCTGTATCTTTTGAGCCATGAAAGTTTTAATAATTTTGTCTTTAAACATTAGTGGTCTGCTGCTCTTTATCCACCACAAATAAACCTGGAGTGAATCAATTTTGTGATGTCCAGCCAAAGGATGGACCTTTTAGTGCAAACTTACAGTGCTTTGTACCTGCTTTTTTAGAAGGATTGTGTTCTGTTTGTGATTTCTTTCTATGTTTTAAAGCTAAGTTTGGGAGCGCTGGGGATTTGGTCCTGTTTATTAATTATTTTAATTGGTAAGCAGTAGATTGGGCAGGAGCTAATGTACATAACACCAGGATTTGTCACTGGTTTCCATGAACTGTACCTGTAACTCATTGCCTTAAAGATGTGTCCATATGGCATGCTAGACCAGCTGAACAGCTTTTAATCATCTCAGCACCAGGGGGTCTTATGTGATACTGCACAACCCCCTGACCCTTAGATGGTTAAAACATGTATAGTAGGCCAGTGTCAGTTTGTATAAAGTACCAAGTGAAAATATTTATTACTTGCATTGAAAAATTGTTTACTTATTGAATGTTACCTGTTTCTGTAGAAGTCTTTAGATGTAATAAAAGAAGCATTCTGATGTTCTGTTTCTTCTCATGTCTTGTGATGCACTATGTACGATGATGTGCAATAGATTTCCTTAGCTGACCTAACTACATACCCTACACATTATTGGCTGCTGTCTGGATACAGCACCATGTCAAGATTTTACTAGTGAGCAAGTATGATGTTTAAAACAAGTGGAAATACAGACAAATCAAGAACACAAAGATAACTGCAAACGGTTGTTTGAACAAAAGGTCTTGAAAAGATGCTATTGTGTTGCAGTAGGCAGTGTGTGTTTAACTTGCAGGCATTTTTTTTTTTCTTTATCTCCAACTGCTCAGCTCCTCCATGGATGTTTTGCAGCAGACAGTCAGGACCAATTTGACACAAAGATATAGAAGGTATGATCATTGTTTCCAGAAAGTCACATTTTAATGAATAAACCTGGTGTGACCTACACATTGAGATGTACCATTTTTCTGTGTTTTCCTACATATGTCTAAATTTATGGTGACACAATCCCTTTATTTAAGATAGGCGAATTTAAGTAGCCTTGCGCAATTTTAAAGCTTTATTTTAATTTATTTTGCTGTGCACGCGCTGTTCCTTAATCTGTATTTTGTAAAAATAAGTGCCTTCCACCTGATGAGGCAGATATCTAACCTCAGACGTATTCAATAAGCCAGGACTTTGTGAACTGGAAAGGAAATTCCTCTTTACTTTTTGATCTACAGTTTGCAGTTCACTTGCCAGTTACATAGCTCCCTGGTAACCATATTAACACTTACTTTAACTGGATTGAACTATGTCAAGATCATATTGTTAACTGGATTTTATAGTTTTATGTAGACAATACAGACAGTAACAAACATTTGCTGTGAGTCAATGTGCGTTAAACTGTAAATCAGTATAGTCTCAAAAGCCAGATGCACTTTATAAGTAGTGTTACCAAAGGCAGTTATCCTTTTTCATGATGATTTTATTTTTTTCCTCTCCACAGAAAGCTATATAGTCCTCATTAAAGAATCCAATGTCAGTCTAAATATGCAGACCAAATAGCACGTTGACTATATAGAAATACAAGAAAAACACTGCAATTTGGAATCGGTGTTTAAGACGTGTATAGAAAAGAAAATTTACCTCCTGTCCACTATACTGAAACAAGATCGCTTATGTTTTGGAACATAAACTCCTGTACGCAAGCAGCAAGATTATAACTTTGTATAGGAGACAGGATTTAGCTATAATTTAATTGCAATCTATATATTATACTGGCCTGTGAGCATCAATGTAAAATGCAAACCATAATTCAGACTGTGTGCTCCTTTGTGACTGTAATCAACAGATGGAAGCAGGGCTATTGGTATCTTTACAAAAATATTGGCGTGCCAGGCTGGAGATGGGTTATCTTGCGGTCTATGGTTTCAGCCTGAAATCTGAAGCTTAGTAGTCGGCTACTGGGAGTGTTATCTTCCTAACAAACTCTTCATATCTCACCATCCCATCGGCTCCTACTTCAGCATTGCGAAGGAGATCATCAACTATGAACAGAAAAGTGGATAAATATATTATTCACAATCTTAGAAACATTAGAGGTACTGGCCACAAACTAATAGTACATGCCTTTCCCTTTGTGGGTGATGACAGCCAATGGTAAGTTTTGAATTACTAACCATGTGTAACAGCAAAGACTAATATTGAATGCTGTGTAGTATCAATATCAGGTGCACCCTCTTTAAAGAGACATTCAATAAAGGGGGCTGTTTGCTTAAAGGAAAATTTATAGCATTAGGAATACAAACTCTATAGTATCTGTGTCAGTAACCTTATACACCCACAATCTGATACGGGGATAAAACTAACCTCTTTACTACCAAGGCTTCCTCCTGCGATGTCATGGCAATGGTGGGACCTAATACGCACACACTATGATCGCATTAATGATATCCCATAGCAAAGCATTGACTTAATGTTTTGCTAGATGGGATTGCAAGATATCTTCAAGTATAACAGATGGCTCTTGTGGCTGTCTGAAACACACCACTGGAGCGTAATTATTGCAGTTTCTCAAACTGCTGTATCTTACATAGCCGGGTTAAACAGACCAGCACTGCACCCAGACCACTTTAAGTTGAAGGGGTCTGGGTGCCTGTAGGGTCCTTTTAGTTTTGCAATGTTGACATTCAAAGAGTTTAAAAGTCTATAGCACCTGTCACTGGCAGCTACTACAGGAACTATATCGATCAGTGCAGCTTTTCCATTCAGACAGTCCCTATCACCACCAAACAAATACTACAGTTCATATCCCCTGCAAACATACACTACAGCTTTTCTCTTCCCACCACACATACCCACCCCCAGCAACATACTATACGTCAACCAGCCCCATCCCCACACCTGCAACCCTACAAGCAGTATTCTCCCCTCCACACGCAACCTAACCATGCAAGCAGCCTTCATACACACTCCTTCTCCCACCATGACCCACTTATTGTCCAATCACCATTCTGTCATATCCCAAACACAATTTCTTGGGTTTCAGTGCCAAACAAGGATTTTCTAATGTCCAACTTAAACTAAGTAGATAATGCACAAATATATATTTGTGGTCAGGGTCAAAGGACGAGGGCATATAATAGGTTTGTACTAAACTAGTAGTCGCAAGTCGGTTGTGGTGTCCCGAAACAGACAAATGGGGGGGGGGGAAGCAGGTGGGTGCAGTGAGAAAGCTAGCCTAAGGGGGGGGTGGGGGAAAGAAAGATTGGACATCAAGGAGGGTAAATCTGGCTCTGAGTGACTTGGTTACTGATACCTATTCCAAGTAACATTGAAATTTAAACATCTCAGTCCAGTAATATACTGCTAATAATGGATTGTGTACTTATGCATATTTTATTTTACCATACCTTCTTCAGTAGTCAGTTTCTCCCCCATTTGAGTAAGTTTAGCTCGTAGTTCAGCCAATGGGATTAGACCTTTCTTCTGCTTATCTGACATCAGCAATGCCACAAGGATCTCATTCTCTGGGTCTTCCTGCTTCTGCTGCCGGTACATGATTGTCAGAAAGGAAGAGAAATCCACTTCACCATCTTTCCCTTGGAAGAGACAGGATGCATATCTCAGTCAATAATTTATTTTATTATTCTTTAAGAGTATCAGAGAGAAAGGGAATTGTTGGAAGTTCACTAGTGAATTGCAAATTAGAAAGTGTCTGGTACATCTTATACTAAGTGTTTTTGTATATGTATGTGCCTCTGGCCCTGCTGCAGGGGGTAGGGGGAGAGAGATGAAACTTACTCATTTGTAGAGGCAAATAGTAGCATGATCGGCTGCTAATGGTTGTGGGTAACAGCTAATTACATGTACTACAGACCTGTGACCTCTGAACTTTTGCGGTTTTAAAGGAGCACTATAGTCACCTAAATTACTTTAGCTAAATAAAGCAGTTTTAGTGTATAGATCATTCCCCTGCAATTTCACTGCTCAATTTACTGTCATTTAGGAGTTAAATCACTTTGTTTCTGTTTATGCAGCCCTAGCCACACCTCCCCTGGCTATGATTAACAGAGCCTGCCTGAACAAAAAAAACTGGTTTCACTTTCAAACAGATGTAAGTTACCTTAAATAATTGTATCTCAATCTCTAAATTGAACTTTAATCACATACATGAGGCTCTTGCAGGGTCTAGCAAGCTATTAACATAACAGGGGATAAGAAAATCTTAATTAAACAGAACTTGCAATAAAGAAAGCCTAAATAGGGCTCTCTTTACGGGAAGTGTTTATGGAAGCCTGTGCAAGTCACATGCAGGGAGGTGTGACTAGAGTTCATAAACAAAGGGATTTAACTCCTAAATGGCAGAGGATTGAGCAGTGAGGCTGCAGGGGCATGTTCGATACACCAATACTGCTTCATTAAGCTAAAGTTGTTCAGGTGACTATAGTGTCCCTTTAATATCGCAATGCTCACCAAAGGAGACAATCACAATTAATAGCTTAAAAGTACAACTGTCACCTCAAAATGTTTTAATATCCTTTCATCACTTTTTTGTATATGTAAAATTAAAAGGGACACTATAGTCACCTGAACAACTTTAGCTATATATATTTAATACATTGCTAAACACAAATACACACCAGCCAAGCCATAAGACTTGCTTTTCCCACAGATAGATAGATATATAATCCTGTCATACACCCAGGTTTGGATTTATCTTGTCCAAGGTCAGTTTCCTCAACACCCACCACCACCAATTTTGTATTTGGGGGGAGCTACTTGTATGGTTGTGTGTGGGTAAGTAAATAGTGGCTTTTTGGGGATAGGGGTTTTAGTGTATGCACATGAGAGAATAGGGCCTTTTTGTGTATTTGTGCAGGATAGTGGCTGTAGGGTGTAAGTTTGGGAGGAAAATGAGGCTATTGTATGTGTGCAGGGAAATTATGGTTGTAGAGAATATAGGGGAGGAGGGAAATCAGGTCTGAGTGGGGGGTATATGCACCGTAGTGTGCATGTTTTGGGAGACAGTGGCTGTTGTGGGTGGAGGGGCTGGAATAGTGGAATTGTAGTGTGGGGGAAATAAAAAAATAAATTAAAACTTAAATTGTATACTCCCCTCCCTGATCTTTATCTGGGAACACTCACATACAGAGAATGATCTTTAAACTCCCCATTGGCCATTCTGCCCCTATCCTGCCTGCAGCCCCGAGGCCTCAGTGGCCTTACGGCAAGTCTGGCTATGCATATACAAAACGTATGGAGGAGTATTTTTCATTAATTTTACATGAAAAATTTTTTTAATTTTTTTTTACTTGATGAAAGGATTATGTTAAAAACCTGTTTTGAGGTAAAAGCTGTCATAATTTGTTTCATGCAAAACTCATTTCCTTCAGCTTTCTCCGCTTTGTTTTCACTACTGCATTCAGTTTGCTGATTGGGTTATATATATATATTTTATGCTCTAGAGTAAGGGCAGATAAGTTACATTACCACTCCCTTTATTTTTAAGTCTTGCAGCACAATACCTTCTTGTGCCAAGAAAAGCAGGAATCTCTGCTCATTCAGTACATATTACACATCACATTCCGTCTGTGCTGGTAAAAAAGTAAGCCTTAAAATGCATCCTGATCTTTTTAGGATTCACAGAGAATTAAATATTGCCAGTATATTTGTAGCTTTTATTGAACGTTTAGTAACCACAGCCAACTATATTGGCACCTCATAAAATATATTGTATCCCTCCCTACCCAAATCTTACCAATTTTATGGACTTGCAAGTGGCGTGCAACTTCGTTTGGTGTTGGGCATGTGCCCAAACAGCGCATTACAGTCAGAAGGTCATTGGCTGGGATTTTTCCTCTTCCTTTCTTATCATACAGAGAGAAACATTCCTTAAATTCTGTGTGGGGAATAAAGTGAGATAAGCAAGAAGGAAAAAAATAAAATAAATAGCAAATAGGCCTCAAGACATCTCCTGGCCCTTAGGTGCCTGTCTTCCCTTCTAATGATCTGTTAAAGGGACACTATTGTGTCAGGAAAACAAAGTTGTTTTTCCGACACTATAGCTCCCTATAGTGTCCCCCCTCATTCCCTGTGGTGCAGAAGGAGTTAAAAAACCTCCTGTCTCTTACCTCAGTCCAGTGCCGATATCACTCGGCGCTGGTTCAGGTCCGTCCCCGCTCCTCAATGGTTATGCTTGCATTAGGCCAAAAATAATTGAGCAGTAAAAATGTAGAAGAATGATCTATACATTAAAGCTGCTTAATTAAGCTAAAGTTGTGTGCATAGAGTACCACTTTAAAGGAGCATACTGTTGGAAAAAGCATCATAACCAGGGTTTAGTTCATGAGAGCTAACAGAAGCGCAAAAGCATGAGCTCTCGGCTCTCCTGTAGCGGCGGCAGGAAGTGCTGGTAGACCTCTGGTCAAACTATTCCGAATGGCTTGATTACTTACTACAATACGCTCTAGGGGTTTGAAGTGCTCCTTTAACACACCTATATTATAAATGGAGCATGAAGGGGTTTCTAATGAATTGAATGGACACGGGGCAATTACAACGTTTAGGAATTGCAAGGATAAAAAGTTCATCTCGTAGAGCACGTCAGGACAGGTAATGCTGATAAATACCAATATTAAGCCCACCCTAAACATACATTAATGACCCGGCCATGACACCACAGCAGTTCTCACTCACTGGTAATTTCATCCTGAGACAGGAACTTGGTCTGCAGAAAACAAAACAGTTTCACTTTCACTTGAGGATTTCTTACAACAGTTATTTGAACTAAAAAAAAAAAAAAAATTTGTATACCCCTTTTAACTATTTACATTAAAAGTGAAGTTTTAATTATCTTTCCTCTTTTGTGATCTCCCCGAGCCCAACCTATCCTAAGGTCACCTCTCTATAAAACGAGGCAACTACCACTCTGCAGGACACTATCATGTATCCTGTCCCTTCTCCTGTCTCCCTTCCTTATTGGTTAGAAAACAAAACAGTTATCGTATAGGTAGGTATAATGTAACACTGGGCAAATAATTCTTCAAAAAAGGTAATTGGAATATCTCCAAGACCTTTCAAATGGAAAAGATCATGTTGATCTTTTCCCAACTGGCAAAAATTAGTTGTAAAATAAAAAAAAATAAAAAAAATTAGCAATCGAACCTTAAAAGGAAACCAGATTGTTTTTTGTTATTACTGCAAGTAAAAAAAAAAAATGTACATGTAATACAGCCTTATAAATAATTCACTATTTTTTTTTAGAGAATCTACTAGCTTCCACTTGCTCTATGGCAGCAGTCATCTTTATTCTGCTCTAGTCAAAAGCATAAATTTCTCTGCTAACACCATGCACAATCACATATGAAACCAACTCAATGTACATTTTTTTTATATTTTAGATGTCTGCAATGTGTGCATGTTTAGATTTGTTAAAGCACATTAATTCAGGATTACCTGCATGGTTTTTGGTCAGGAAAACAGAGTCTGATCTAAAAGTACTTAAAAGGTGGTGGCTCTAAAGAACAGGGGCCAGAGTGATTTACAGACATGTGTATACTACAAAATAATACACATCAAGGTTCCAATATGTGTAATCTTTCATTTTAATATGATCGTTTTACTTTAACCACCAACCCCATAGCTACAGGATACACATTCCTTTATATCACTGTAGTGCAGGCAAGACATCTATTATGAAGGGATTAAATCTCAGAGTAAAGAGATTCACAAACTGAAATGTATAACATTGTATTCTTATCCACAGCTCACTGATAGCAATTGGGTCACTTAATGCAAACAACCTCTGTGTTATAGTTAGATTCTCTTTGCGGTGACTTCCTGATTACCTTGTATAATAAACTCATTCAGGTACAGAGGGAACAAAAAAAAACAAGAGACAGACACTCTTGCTAAGTACTACTATGAGAACCCACATTTATACATCTCTCCCATTATGCCCAGGCATTTCCTGACTGTTCTTATCCCTGAAAACACAGATAAGACTAAAATTTACAGGTAACTCACCATGTTGTCAATTCTTAGTTGTCGCTTCCTGCTTAATGGGAGATGCCAAAGTCCACACAGAATGAGCTTCTATATTCTGAGAGATCTGCTGCTATGGAGACCCAGGGTCAGATTCCATCTCTATAAACCACCTGTAGGTGCTTGGAGTCTCATTACATTCATACAGAGGCTGTTACATGACACCTCTTCTCCCATTAAACATGCATACAATGGAGGGAACACATAACCCTCCAGGTAACAGAGTCAGATTCACCCTTGCCCTGCTTGCCTTATTAATGCTGCGCATTGCCAGGGGACCTGGAGCAGAGAACAACCGTGTAAAATACTTCTCTATATAAGAGTTTTAATATTTCATTGAAAAATATTCATAGGGTAGTATTGTGGAGTTACTGCTAGAGATGGTCATCTCTGTATATTGTTATAGGAAAAAGAAAAAAGGATGAACAATCTGATATTTATTAAAGGCACATCTTATTCAGTACAATCGGGTTGTCTGGGTCAAAGTGAGCAATTCACAAGCATAGACTTCTACTGTATAAAAAAAAAAAAATTACAAATCGCATATAGAATGTGTACTTTATTCAGTCTGATATGTTCTAGTAAGAGTCAAATTCGCCTGCATTTTGTTTTGCATGCAGACTTACAGCAATCTACAATATTTGCCCACTAGCAGTGCAGATGAATACAACTGGGGTCCACACCTACACCCCCCAGCTGGTCAAACCAATTTCTTCACACCGTGGGTAGTGAGGTTACGGTAAATAATGGAGTGAATGGGCAGCAACACCATTATTAACCCTCACAACACTGTCCAATCAATGGGTATTTTATACCTTCAATAGAACATAGATTATGTTTGACTGCAATATGGAGCCACAATTCATACCCCAAGGAGTTATTTAAATGGTGATAATAACATTATACCCTGTTACTCTTAACTTGGCCATACAATAGTAGTTTTTTAAATTTTATGAGCTCTATTTTTTCTTAAAGAAAGTTCACTCAATTAAAATGAAAAATAGTTTAGTAGATATGCCCCAAATTAAAACATGCATACATTTAATTATTCAAATTGGGGGTATATCTAAAAATAGCTTGCAAAGGCAGCAGTTTTCTTGTTGCAGCCCCAAATGCATGTGGATGTTGCAGATTATTTTTACGATCTAACTTAAACTTACTTTTTACAAACCCCACGCCTCTTCAACGGCACATTTCAAATACATTGTAGAATCTTCCCCGCAACATTGTTTTTTACCATTTAAATAGAAGAATTAAACTTTCACATGGCGTCTTATAGGTTTACTCCCACTACTCTGACCTTCTATAAGCTATAATACCAAGAATACGTAAAGGACTCATCGATTCTAGGGCAATGAAACAGGAGAAGGTGCGATCCTGCAATGACATAATCTGTAATAAATTAAAGCAAACAAAACATTGACAGCAGTAGACTGTAGAGAGGTGTGTTTGTGCTGCAACTTATACTGTTATTTTGTAATGTACTGCCCTTCACCTGGTCTATGCAGCCACAGATATACACAGTACTGTCCCTTAACCAATCCATTGACAAGGTTTTGGTTTTTCTAAAGCTTATTTTATTTTTTTTGAACAATATTCACTCTTAAGGCGAGCTACTAGAAAGTAGCATATGTATTGCTAATGACACATTACAGCTTTGACCAAATAAAATATAGTAAAATAGATATCTTACATAAAAAAAAAAAAAAATGTTTTAAAAAAAAGCAAGTAACCAGTTCAGTGAAGGTTTAAGGAAGAGAGTGATTCTGATGGGAAAGTCCTGCTTCTCTGCTGGTTAAAACAGGGACAGAGAAACGATAAGTAAAGTCAATGGCTAGCTCTTCACAATTAGTTACAAAGCGCTGGGCAAACTGGAATTCTTTTCAGTGGAAGCTATTGATGTGAAGAGTATAATATGCCCATGGCTCTGGGATATAGATCACACCAGGGTATTTTTTGCGCAGAACTTTGTCATTCCAGAGCCATATGATCCACGCAGCAATCAGAAGCAGAGCGGTCGAGAAGGAAAAGAGCAGGAAGAGGCCATTACTGTCCAGGTATAAACCCTTGCGCTTCTTGTTAAGGATAATTGCCAGCATGGCAAAAAATGTGAAAATAAATATGATGAAGATCTGCCCCTCTGTAACCAGATACCTGTACGTGGTAAAGAACATTCATTAAAAAGGTGGGCTCTATTACACAATCTAGAGCAGAAATACAGAAATGTATTATGTGCATGCAGATTATGATCACACAGGCCTGTATTCTAGCTATACAAAAAAGGTATAATGGCTGCTATATTTCTCTATATTAAGGAAGGAGCTGATAAAACAATTCTCAAACCAGGTTTCCATACACTCACCAAACACTGCAAAGCAGTAAGTGGAAAACTATATTGTGACATTTAGGTTGAAATAGTTAATTAGAGAAATTACTCCATATCGGCCCCAGTCACAGCTAGGTCATTCAAGACAATTTATAGTGAATAAATCCCTGATAATAATATTAGTATTAAAACAATTCACATTTAATTCTACTCAAAAAGATAAATCAATGTTTTATGGAGATGAAAAAACGGAGCACTTAGCGCAGAATCCCATACTCCGTAATACTAACCAATAGTAGAGACTGCTTGGTAAGAGTAAGGTCCAGGCTGATAGTGGCATACTGCTCTCCTTCCTTGAGTTTGTGAAACAGCCAGTAAAGTAGATGAATAGGATAAGAAAAAATGGAATATACCTGAGACAAGAGAAGAGTTTTAGGATTTTACAAACCATGATGGTAGAGCTCATATCATGAAAGGTAATAAAACAGTACAAAAAAAAAAAAAAAACCCCCCACACACACACACACACACACTGCAAAGCCAGCCATCATGTGACATTACAGCTTTTAGCAATGTTGAAAAGTAGGAACAACAATCCCTTAAAAGTATGTTTTTGTCTTTTTATTCGCATTTAAAATTGAAGACTTGAAGTATTTGAACTAGTTTTGTTTTTGATCCTAAACATATTAAACAAATGACACCCAATTTTTCACTAGCTAACATAATCACACAGAATCAAAGACAATCAGTATTATGACATTAGATGGCTTCATGACATCTATGAAGGTAGAAGAAATCCCACTAACTACTCAGAATGGAGACGAAGTGCTTACCACATGGAATGTCCGACATACTCATCATAGTAATACAGCAACTCAAACGAATCAACCTGTGACAGAGAAGATGTAGGAGTGACCAAGGGCAATATCAGTGAAAAAAAAACACCTGACAGATATCAATAAAAATAGGTCATCTGCAGGTCTTGTGAAGATATCTGTACACATCATAGAAAAATACCCATATCCCAACCAAATGACCACTTCAAAATGTATTAACTGGGCAGCAAAAGTACAATCACCAAAGAAGGTGACAGTGTCTCTTAAATGCATCTACACATGTTTTTATTATATAGGCATCTTGCCTACAGAACGATAATACTGAATCATGAGAAGACATAAGTTTAAGTTAAATTTAAACACTGCAGGATATTTTGAGCACATCTCTTATATTGAGGGCTGTGCCTATAAGCATGGCCTCTCGCTTTACTTGTGGATTTAGCATAGCCCCCAAAGCTACCAATACACTCTGCTCTATCCTCATGGAGCATGTATGCAAAGGATATTTGTGGCTCACCAAGGAAGATGGCTGCAGGTTCTGCATGATTGGATTATCACGCACAGACAAGTGAAGCTGGTATCCGCTGAAGATCAGTCTGTGGTTGACCGAGTCCCCTACTAGATGAATACTTGCTCCCATCACAAACGTTATGATACTGACATAGATGACGGAGTTAGGAAGTGTTTTGGGAGAACGGTCTATCAGCTGAAAGACACAAACAGTAAAGATATACCAAAAGGGTGTTATGCCAGGTACAGATTTCATTATTGGTAAAAAAATAAATAAAATTTAAATAATGAACACCAGACTTTTCCCCACGGTAAATACAGTATAATTATTAAATTTAATGCTACTTAACATGCAATTATCGAGTAAATGTAAAAGCAGCTCTGGTATACATGGCAGATTATAAAAGGCTGCAACTGCAACAGTTCTAGTGGGAAATAATAAACGCAAGCATAGATGTTTTTGTAGAAAAGTGGCATGTTTTTCAACTTTACAAAGCAAACGGCACGAATTTGTTTATGTTCCGTTGTTGCAAGTGAAATAAAGGGAAGAATTCAAAGTTACTCTTTGTCAGTGAGCCATTACCACACTTCACTTATATTAAGCAGATAAATAGGGAATTTAGGAAGAAGGATAAAGCTGCTCAGTCTATGACTATTACTAGGCTTCAATCAACAATTAGAAAAGTAAAAAAAACAAAACACATTTTAATACATGCCACAGTATCTTGTACGCTTGTATGCTAGTAGCAATGCAATTTACATAGAGACAGGAGCAGGAAGACTTTATAAGTAGCTCCATGGAAAGGGTATGCAAAATAAAGAGAAAAGGAAGTAGAACAAAACTAATGGGTACATCTGCTAGGTAGCTGGGATATCCAACATTAGAGAATCGAGAACGTAGGATCCAGACTCAAGCCAAATCACAAAAAGAAACATAATGAAATACCCTAGAGAGTAATGGTATGGTCATTGGAATCAAATGCAACAGGTAGATTGAGAAGGATAAGATAGGACACATACTCTTAGGGGGTAGCCACATGGACCAGTAGTTATAACTTTGCAAGATTCCAGAGAGAATGTTTATGAACAGACCCTGTGTAAAACGCTGTGTGACTCAGTCTGGAAATTGTCCTGGTTTTACCTTCAAGAGAAGCAGTGGAGTTATGATATTATAAGCCATATGGAAATAGTCTCCAGCGCTGGGTTTATTCAGTGGGAACCAGTCCAGTGGGAGGAGAAGCTGGAAATGAAGTGGCCAGTTAAATGCAATTTTAATTAGTAACATCAAAGTGCAATATCAATGTGCAGCGGCAGTCATAATGTTAACACAATTTAAACCGGTCTGTAAGACCTTACCTGGAACTATGGAACTGAGAGAGACACGGAAAAAGCTGAATAAATATTCGCTACTTTTTGGTGTGTTTAAACAAATAACCTTAAGTGCAGCTTTATTATAATCATGCTTTATAGATTAGCATGACAGGTTATTTCACCAAAGTGAGAATGGTCAGGAATGTAATGTGAATTTCAAAGTTGAGGCCAAAAATAAGAAAAATGTCCAGTTCAGCTATATTTCCAGTGAAGCTATTTTGGCCTTAAATTTGAAATTCACTTTGATTACCTGACAATTCTAACTTAACTAAATAGCCATGTTAGAGTACTACTCACAGGCATTGATTAACTAAAGAATAAATTGTAGATACAAGACAAAATAAATTTTTTATATATATATATATATATATATATATATATATATATATATATATATATATATATATATATATATATATATATATATATATATATAAATAAATAATTTTTAAAAAAAGTGTGCAAAGTTACAGAATTTGTTTTCCAAACCAATGTTTTTTGCCGCCATTTTGCAATTTGATTTTCAGCTGACTACAATTTGGTGTTTAGTGAATACGTATTAATGTATTATGAGCGAATATTAGATGGGGTGGATGTAAAAATATCCAGTTCATCAGATTTGGGTTTTACATTTTTATTTTTTTTTAAATTTATACACAACACAGCATTTGAAGTAGTTTACAAGTTAGTGGTTATGTAATCAAAAGAAAAGGTAGCCACACTCTTATAAACAGTAATAGGGTGCTTCTGGACAGGGGCTGGCAATCCCTCAATGTCACATAGTCAAAAGAAAAAGGTGGTCCAAGCAGCTTTATTGGACATGAATAGGCATTGCAATGTTTCGGCCCACAACAGGGCTTTTGTCAAGCTTTGTCAGTTTGACATAGGACCTGTTGTGAGCTGAAACATTGCAATGCCTGTTTATGTCCAATAAAGCTGCTAAAAATTGACGGGAGTGCCCCAACCACCTTTTTCTTTTGACTACATGACACTGAATGATTGTCAGCCCTTGTTCAAGAGCACCCTATTGTCGTTTATAAGAGTGTGCCTTCCTTTTCTAGTGTGGACTAAAGGTTGGTTGTCAATTCAGCGGCTCCGTGTTTGGAGAATAAAGATCTGTTCCTATCTCAAACTAGCAGATGTAACTGCTCATATCTGTTCTATAGTAGACATGTATACAATGACCTAGGGAATAGTACACACAGTCTCATTTACCTGGCAAGATAAGGTGTACGTAAATTTCCACCCTCTGTCCCTGCTCAGCCTGACCGTGCATTGCAGAAAATATTCTAAAAAGGTGTATTTTGGAACATGTATCTAATGGACACTGAGCAGGAGTCCAAGAAAAGCCAATTAACAGATTTCAGATTAAATTGGTGACATTTAACCCATCACTAAAGTCACCACTATTCACCAATTGGCTGTTGTGCAAAAAAGAACAGATAAAGATGCGGATAGTCCTTTTATTGACATATATTTTGTGCAGTGTAATCACAATATTAAACAAGCAATTATCCAATTAAAATCTTAACAAATGGGTGGAGTGCTTAATATTTACAAGCAATAATTGCTTAGCCCTTATTAAATCAAGTGTAGAGATTCTGATGTACTTGAATACATAAAAAGGAGAATAAGAACACAGAAAAAAAATACTAGTGTCACCCCTAGAAATTGACACTAAGTGTTCCCACCTTAGAGCCAAGGCATCAATAGGCTCTTAAGAAGGAGAGAGTCCATTTGGTGTATACCTTTGACATAAATGGCGTTTAAATATACTACTCTATAAGCTCCTTTTATCTGCTTTATCCTGAGAGAGGATTCCGTGAGAAGAAGGTGGGGTGTCACCTATATGAGCACCACTGCGCTTCTATAGAGCCTTACTTCCCAGGCTCTGAAAATTGTGAGTTCTCTCTCCTATTTACTTTTGCACTCCATCTATATATCAGTACTATCTGCACTAGTATTTTTTCTGTGTTCTTATTCCCCTTTTTATGTATTCAAGTACATCAGAATCTCTACACTTGATTTAATAAGGGCTAAGCAATTATTGCATGTAAATATTATCAAGCGCTCCACTGATTTATTAAGATTTTATCTTGATAATTGCTGGTTTGATTTTATGTACAGGTGAGGGGGAAAGGTATTCCCTCCCGGGTGTTAAGAGCTGCTATTACCTTCTAGACACCCTTTAAGCGCTCTCACACACACTTACTCCTTGTGAGGTTTTTTTTCGCTCTAATCACAATATTACTTTAATTACTCATTTTCACAGCACTAGGCAAACATAATACAGGTTAACACAAACAAAAAATTTATATATATATATATATATATATATATATTTTATTTTTTTTTACAAAAATCAAGCAGGCATATCAATAGTTTTAACTTTATTATGTGAATCCAATCCCATTTGAATTATATGAACAATTATGAATACCTATACAAAATGCATGTTTTACCAGAATCACGAGGTACAGTACACCAAGTACTAACAGAAAGTTTATTAAAGTAATGGCAGACAACCCACAAATCTGCTTACTTCGCAGGTAAAATATGAACTTATTATTATCACAGATAGACAAAAGCTGCAGTTTCTACAGATTTGAAAAATGATCAATGATTACCAGCTCAATAGACATACAATACAGCACAGCTACACTCACCATGACAATCGGACGGCCAAAGTCAAGAAGCCAGTTCTGAAGGGTAAAATAGAACCATAGGTCCAGATGAAAGCGAGAATTTCTGGTGCCATCCTCTTGCTGGGTAGAACCAAGTCTGCTAAAAAAAAATATGGAAAATAAGACAACGGCAGTTTAAAAGTTGATAGAATTTGCTATTTTTTTTCCCCTTTACAAGAGGATTCAGTGTTCTAAATTCCTAACACTAACTTATGCCCTAACAAAGGGGTAGGCAACCTAAGGCACACCAGATGTTGTGGACTATATATTCCATAAGTTTTTGCCAGCAGTGTGGCTATATGAATATTATGGGAGATTTAGTCCACATCTGGCATGCCTAAAGTTACCTACCCCAGTTTTAGCATGTAAATAAAATAAACGTATTACATTGAATTTGATGTTGGAATATATAGCACAGTAAATCTTATACTGGGAAGACTACAGACCCAGTAATTGTAAAAAGATGAAAACATTACAGAGGTACATTGCAATTATTTGCTGAACGTGTATTTTAAGAATACCTCTTATCAAGCAAACAAACCTCTAATACAGACCAATGCAACCCACTAAGCAGGCTTGCTAAATGCAGGAATGACAAGGAAAGGCATCATTGGGATGCTAGGCAGGAGGAAGCAACCTTACACACTCCGGAACACTCTCGAGGACTACATCTCCTATTATGCTTTTAAAGCGATAATGGTTGCAGAGCATCATGGGCTATGTAGTCCACAACATCTTGACTGCAAAAGGTTGCCTACCCCTGTGCTAGTGGTTGTGTGCCCAGACTCTGTGGAGGGATCTGCCAACTCCTGTTGGTGAGAACACCAACCTTAGCTACTAGAAGTGAATGAGTGCAAGACACTTTCTTATGATTACAAAGATAAACATAAGGGAAGGTTTGCTAAACATTCACCAGGAAGTCACATTCGCAAATACAGTTATTCCAGTTCTTAATTGTGTGAAAAACCACACATTGTGCAACTAGACGCATGTAATGCTCACTGGCACTTTATCCATGTTGGACATGACTTGGGTCCAGTTCTGCTATGTGTTTCCTGTTATTACAATACTGAGATGCAAGTTTTTACACAATAAAGAACTGGAACAACTGTGCTCTTCAATTGGGATATCTGCAGAACTGGGAAGTCAAAATGAATACAAGAATTTAGGCCAAAACTGGAAACATTGCTGACTTGAAAAGGTTTCTCCCAATTTGGCTACTTTGGCCTAAACTTTTATATTCACTTGGAATTGCTGACAAATCAGCCCTGGGATTGCATGTAACACACACATGATATATTACATGTCTGTCCATAGAGACACAGACAGAGCACTTCCTCCTACTACGGCAATGCTGGCACTCCCATTATACCAGGGGTGGTGGCCATGGAGGATGGTGTTCCCCGTGCTGTGGTGGTGGTGGTTGTTGTTGTTGTTGTTACCTGGCCGGGAGTCCCGGAGTGGGCACATGCTGTCTCCGCCTCGCCGAGCTCTGCATCCTGCTCTCCCAGAGCTGCTCACTGAGAGAGCCTGAGACTCTCACAGAGGGGCGGGGCTTCCAGGGCCATCTCTGATAGGTCCACAGTCCACAGTTTAGACCAATCCCGTACAAGCGATGGTTGGGACCAAGGAAATTTTAAAGATACAGGGGCCAGAAAAGAGTGTGAGTGAGCTGTGTGCTGTGTGTGAATGGGACAGGGCGGGTTAATCATGGTCAGACTGTGTGTGAATGGGACAGGGCGGGTTAATCATGGTCAGACTGTGTGTGAATGGGACAGGGCGGGTTAGTCATGGTCAGACTGTGTGTGAATGGGACAGGGCGGGTTAGTCATGGTCAGACTGTGTGTGAATGGGAGAGGGCGGGTTAGTCATGGTCAGACTGTGTGTGAATGGGAGAGGGCGGGTTAGTCATGGTCAGACTGTGTGTGAATGGGAGAGGGCGGGTTAGTCATGGTCAGACTGTGTGTGAATGGGAGAGGGCGGGTTAGTCATGGTCAGACTGTGTGTGAATGGGAGAGGGCGGGTTAGTCATGGTCAGACTGTGTGTGAATGGGAGAGGGCGGGTTAGTCATGGTCAGACTGTGTGTGAATGGGAGAGGGCGGGTTAGTCATGGTCAGACTGTGTGTGAATGGGAGAGGGCGGGTTAGTCATGGTCAGACTGTGTGTGAATGGGACAGCGGTTAGCCCGGCAGACTGTGAAGGAAGGGCGTAGCCCGGTCGACTGTGTGTGAATGGGACAGGGCGGGTTAGTCATGGTCAGACTGTGTGAATAGGAGAGGCGTTACGGTCAGACGTGTGAATGGGAGAGGGCGGGTTAGTCATGGTCAGACTGTGTGTGAATGGGAGAGGGCGGGGTTAGTCATGGTCAGACTGTGTGTGAATGGGAGAGGGCGGGTTAATCATGGTCAGACTGTGTGTGAATGGGAGAGGGCGGGTTAGTCATGGTCAGACTGTGTGTGAATGGGAGAGGGCGGGTTAGTCATGGTCAGACTGTGTGTGAATGGGAGAGGGCGGGTTAGTCATGGTCAGACTGTGTGTGAATGGGAGAGGGCGGGTTAGTCATGGTCAGACTGTGTGTGAATGGGAGAGGGCGGGTTAGTCATGGTCAGACTGTGTGTGAATGGGAGAGGGCGGGTTAGTCATGGTCAGACTGTGTGTGAATGGGAGAGGGCGGGTTAGTCATGGTCAGACTGTGTGTGAATGGGAGAGGGCGGGTTAGTCATGGTCAGACTGTGTGTGAATGGGAGAGGGCGGGTTAGTCATGGTCAGACTGTGTGTGAATGGGAGAGGGCGGGTTAGTCATGGTCAGACTGTGTGTGAATGGGAGAGGGCGGGTTAGTCATGGTCAGACTGTGTGTGAATGGGAGAGGGCGGGTTAGTCATGGTCAGACTGTGTGTGAATGGGAGAGGGCGGGTTAGTCATGGTCAGACTGTGTGTGAATGGGAGAGGGCGGGTTAGTCATGGTCAGACTGTGTGTGAATGGGAGAGGGCGGGTTAGTCATGGTCAGACTGTGTGTGAATGGGAGAGGGCGGGTTAGTCATGGTCAGACTGTGTGTGAATGGAGAGGGCGGGTTAATCATGGTCAGACTGTGTGTGAATGGGAGAGGGCGGGTTAGTCATGGTCAGACTGTGTGTGAATGGGACAGGGCGGGTTAGTCATGGTCAGACTGTGTGTGAATGGGAGAGGGCGGGTTAGTCATGGTCAGACTGTGTGTGAATGGGAGAGGGCGGGTTAGTCATGGTCAGACTGTGTGTGAATGGGAGAGGGCGGGTTAGTCATGGTCAGACTGTGTGTGAATGGGAGAGGGCGGGTTAGTCATGGTCAGACTGTGTGTGAATGGGAGAGGGCGGGTTAGTCATGGTCAGACTGTGTGTGAATGGGAAAAGGCAGGTGAGTTAGGGTGAGACTGTAATAGGAGAGGGCAGATTATTTATGGTGAGACTCTACGTGAATGTAACTCTGTTCTCTCCTCCGTTAGATGCTCACCCAGTCTCCACTCCTTCAAAAAAGCATATCAATTAAACTGTTAATAGCTCCTGACTGATTCCTGTCTTGCAAGTCTCATTAGTCTAATACTATACTTACCTTTTTGTGTCACTTTACCCCACTCCCTCTAGCATGTAAGCTCATTGAGCAGGGCCCTCAATCTGTTCCTGTGTGTCCAGCTTGTCTGGTTACAACTACATGTCTGTTCGTCCACCCATTGTAAAGCGCTGCGGAATTTGTTGGCGCTATATAAATAATAACATAATAATAATAATGGGAAAGGGCAGTTTAGGTGAGATGAGACTGTGTATGAACAGGAGAGGGCTGGTTAATTGGGATGTGTTTATGTGGATGGGATAGCACAGGTTAGTCAGGGTGAGACTGTGTGTGAATGGGAGATGAAAGGTTAATTGGATTGAGACTTTATGTTAATGAGGGATAGCAGTTTATGTAAGCGAATGGGACAGATGGCAGTCTATTAGACCCTGTCTGTCTATTGAGCATTACACTGTCTCTAGTTACTCGCTGTCTGTCTAGAGAGCACCATATTACCTCCCCTGGCTATACACTCCGCAGGGGGAACCAAAGTGCTCTTGCCTGGTTCCTACACGGATACTTCCGCGTTGTAGACCGGAAGTGGGGCTTGTAGGACATCCTGCAGAGTCCCCGGGATGGCCCTGGACGGGCTGTCCGGTTATGTTTACAAGGCTGCGGCAGAGGGCCGAGTACTGACTCTGGCAGCCCTGCTTCTCAACCGCACGGAGCCCGAGATCCGCAGCCTGCTCGGCTCGGTCACCCAGCATGGCGGCCAGAGATCCACCCCACTCATCATCGCCGCCCGCAACGGCCACAGCAAGGTGGTGCGACTGCTCCTGGAGCATTACCGGGTGGACACCCAGCAGACCGGCACCGTGCGCTTCGACGGGTAATTACAGAGACCCCCAGACTGCAACAGACAGGCAGCAAGGACACGACATGCCAGGGTTAGGTCATCTCTGGCACTGCTTGGAGGTGGACTACCACTCTCACAGTGCTCAGCCAGCCAGAGCCACACTGAACAACCCCCTGGAGAAGAAGTCCATCTAAGCTGGCGCTCCATGGGTGGCCGATCACTGAGTAGGGTGTGGGTGTTCACAGTAAGGTGCAGGTGTATAGATCCTGGAACTTAGTTTGGCAACAGGGAATTAAAACACAATTTATTAAGAATTCAAAATTCTCTCAGTGTAGTAATACTCAGGTGATATGATGGTATGGTTCCAGTTCAATTTCTGCTAAAAGTCTCATGTTGTTATGAAGACACTTTTTTTTTTTTTTTTTTTGTGATTACCATTTTGAATCTTTCCCATCAATTCACTAAACCTCTTCTTTCTTGCTTTCTGCAGTTACGTTATTGATGGAGCCACAGCTCTGTGGTGTGCGGCTGGAGCTGGACACTACGAGGTGGTCAAGTTGTTAGTCAGCCATGGAGCCAATGTAAACCACACGACCGTAACAAACTCTACACCCCTAAGGGCAGCATGCTTTGATGGGAGACTTGATATTGTCCGCTTCCTTGTGGAAAACCACGCAAACATAGGTATTGCCAACAAGTATGACAACACGTGCCTAATGATTGCTGCTTACAAGGGTCATACTGATGTAGTACGTTACCTTTTGGAGCAGAATGCAGATCCAAATGCCAGAGCTCATTGTGGAGCTACTGCATTACACTTTGCAGCAGAAGCCGGACACTTAGACATTGTGCGCGAGCTTGTGAAATGGAATGCAGCCATGGTTATGAATGGTCATGGAATGACCCCTCTAAAAGTGGCAGCTGAGACCTGTAAAGCTGAAGTGGTGGAGCTGCTTCTTCAGCATTCAGACTGTGATGCAGAGAGTCGTGTGGAGGCACTGGAACTCCTGGGTGCTTCTTTTGCCAATGACCGGGAGAATTACAACATTACAAAGACATACCAGTATCTGTACTTGGCAATGCTGGAAAGATTCAGAGATCCAGCCAGTATTCTTCACAAACAGGTTCTGTCTCCTGTTGAGGCTTATGGAATGCGAACAGAATGTAGCACTCCACGAGAGCTGGATGCTATACGACACGATACAGATGCACTACATATGGAGGGCTTAATAGTACGTGAGCGAATACTTGGATCCGATAACATAGATGTATCACACCCCATCATTTATCGGGGGGCTGTTTATGCTGATAACATGGAATTTGAACAGTGCATTAAATTGTGGTTGCATGCCCTGAACCTGCGTCAGAAGGGAAACCGCAACACTCACAAAGACCTGCTGAGATTTGCACAGGTGTTTTCACAGATGATCCATCTTAATGAACCAGTGAAAGCATGCGATGTGGAGAGCGTTCTGAGGTGCAGTGTACTGGAAATTGAACGGGGGATGACACGGATTCGAAATCCCCAGGAACCAGATGCTCATTCTGCCGTTGAAAATCACGAGTGTAATCTTTACACTTTTCTCTACCTCGTCTGCATCTCCACAAAGACTCAGTGTTCAGAGGAGGAGCAGTCTCTTATCAACAAGCAGATCTACAGATTGGTGCATCTAGATCCTCGTACCCGGGAAGGTTGTAGCCTTCTGCACTTGGCTGTAGACTCTAGCACTCCAGTAGACGATTTTCACACAAATGACGTTTGCAGCTTCCCTAGTGCTCCAGTGGCCAAACTTCTCATAGACTGTGGGGCTAATGTAAATGCCACTGACAATGTTGGCAACACTCCACTCCATGTAATAGTCCAGTACAACCGTCCCATTAGTGATTTTCTTACGCTACACTCAATCATAATCTGTCTAGTGGAGGCAGGAGCACATACAGACATGACCAACAAGGAGAGGAAGACTCCACTAGATAGAAGCACCACTGGAGTATCTGAGATTCTATTGAAAACTCAGATGAAGCTTAGCTTAAAGTGCCTAGCAGCCCGTGCTGTCCGACTATACAATATTAAGTACCGTAATCAGATTCCCAAGAGTCTTGAGGAGTTTGTTGAATTTCATTGAGCTCGTGTATGAGCAAAATCCTTTTATTTTTATTTTAAAATTTTGTGTAAATATCTTCATAGTTTTGATCTTATTAATTAATGGGGCCATCGCAAATACCTTTTATATTCAGTACACACAATTCCATGTTTCATGCTTTGCATCCCTGTGTTGAGGAGCAGACCTTCTAAAGAGCAGGGAAGCTGCTTCCAGTGTATTTTTTGGAGAGGTATCTCTGAGACACAAGATAAGGTGCTGAAATAGATCAATTCATTATTTTATTTTTTCCAAGGTAACATATTGCCATTTTTAAATTAAACCCATTAATTTTTATTTGTATTAATTTGCAGTTTATTGTAAATTTCATGGTTGTTTGAATATATCAGTCTATCTTCTGATGGACCCAAGAGGGTATTATTTTTAAACCTGCTGGGATATGCTCAGAAAATAATGACTTTTTTTAATATAAATTTAATTTTCTATGTAAAAGCAAATATCCTAGCTTCACCTATTTGGTTGTGCAAAGTCATACTAAGCTTGGGGCCAACCATGAATGAGTTTTTAATTAAATGACCATTAACTTCACTGTAATAGTTTGCACAATAAGCCATTTAAAGGGACACTATAGTCACTAAAAAAACTTTAGCTTAAAGAAACCATTTTGGTCTATAGAACATGCCTCTAAAGTTTTACTGCTCAATTCACTGCTATTTAGGAGTTAAATCTGGTTTGTTTCTGTTTATTCAACCCTAGCCATACTTCCCCTGGCTGTGACTGAAACAGCCTGCATTATAAAAAAGATTTCATTTTCATTCATATGCAGCTTACTTGAAAAGCTTTCTCTTGTTCTGTAAATTGAACTTTCATCATATACAGGAGACTCCTGCAGGGTCTAGCAAGCTATTAACAGTGCAGTGGATAAAACATTTTAAGTTAAACAGAATTTGGAAAGAAGAAAGTATAAACATTAGAAAAATCTTTACTTCAGGAAATGTTTAGGAAGGCCGTGTAAGTTACACGCACAGAGGTGTGTGACTAGGGTGCCTAAGCAAAGTGATTTGACTCCTAAATGGCAGAGAATTGAGCAGTGAGACTGCAGGAACATGATCTATACACCAAAACTACTTCATTAAGCTAAAGTTGCTGTGGTGACTATAGTGTCCCATTAACCTTTTTCAATTAAGAAGAAATTTCAAGGCAGCCCAGCCCACTGTGGAATACCCTGTAGTGCTAGACGATTGACCAGATACATGCTTACATTATGGTAAGATATGACCCTGGCATGAGTTGAGGGTATTGTATTAAAAAAAGATTGTGTCCTTGCTGGCTAAAACAGGTATATTACCACTGCCATGGAGATTTTTATTTACTGACACAATAAGTGCTATAATATGTTTATATAAAGGCACTCTTCATTGTCGGTTTGGTCCTCTTGACTCCATTTGCTGCAGATGCAACTTAAAGTGGGAGTAATGTTACATTTAAAAAAATAATATATATTTTTGTCTAAATATTTTACAGTGTCGCTTGCCTAGCTCGTAAACCGAGGAATATATTTAATGTAGTAAAATTCTAGCATCAAGGACGAGTTGCATTCATTTTTATAACTCAATGTTTTTAGCCATATTTTAAAAGACCGTTTGGTAAATGCTTTAAAATGTAACACTACTGACATCTGTGGGGTATTTTTGACATGAGTGTTTTTAATCTCTACCTAATGTTTGATCCTCCCCTTCCCCATTGTAAGCAAACCGTCTGGCCCCCTCCACTTTGTCCGACACTGCTGGAAGCTTTCTGTCTGAATTGACCCTATTAGTTAATGGGCTATCCCTGTATTGCAAGGCTTGGCTCAGAAGAGCTACTGGAAGCTTTCAGCTTGCTCATGGAATTGGTGGAAGTGGGTTACGAGACCTGGCGGACCCAAAAAAATTTATAAAATGGTGTGGCTATTTTCAATGTGAGACCGTCTGGTACCATAACCACCAGAATGTGCTTGGAGCAGAAGTTCCAACTTAAGCATAACCTACAGTATTGTGCTATAGAGTACCCTAAGATAAACTATTGTGTTAAAGTAAAACACAGATTTTAAACAATAGAGGCCTTGATTTAATAAGCATTCCAAATGACTCGGTACTGTTAAATCATTTGGAAAGTGGTTTTTTTTTATTTGCAGAAGTCACCATTAAAACCTATGGCATTTTTTTTTGTAGATAGATCATTCTAACAGTAATTCATCAGTTGGAAAAATCACTAAATCAAGGCCAAAGTGTTTTTTACCATATCAAATATAATAACAAAGGCAAGGAATCCAGTCTTTGTATGTTAATGCATTTTGACTGTGTAGCGAATACTGGTTGTGTGTTTGATATTTGAAGAGTTATTAATGGAGTGAGAATTGTCGGGTATTCAAAGTGAGCTTCAAATTTAGGCCAAAATAGCCAAACTGGAGGGAATTGTAGACTTGGATATTTTTTCCATTTCAGCTATTTTGGCCTTAAAGGGACATGCATTTAATTATGCATTTTCATTGGGGATATATCTAAAATAAGCTTGCAAAACCTACAGTTCTCCTGCCTGCACGCCCTCCTCTTCTAACCCAGCCCAGACTTTGTCGCTGTCAAATCACAGCCTTCCTAATGCATCTCAATGAGAAGTATTTGCAAGACAGCTGCTCTGAGCAATTGCTGCCTTTTGAGTTCAGTCCAAATAAGCTAGCCAAACCAGGAAGTAATAATACCTGTTGTCTGCTTAAAAAGCCAGGGGGTGTAACCAGTATAATTTATAAAAGCGTAAATTTCTATTAAAATCTGCAGTTTTTCCAAAATGAAAAAATAGGACACCAATTTCACACGAGTGTCCCGATAAATTTGAAAGCTACTGAATTCCTGATTATTCTCACTGTAGTGAATAGCCCTTTTGGAATTGTGTGACTGTTTTCTGTTGCTATATTTTGTAAGAGGCCATCTAGACAATGGCAAGCAGAACAAGGCCCAGGTGACTAGAAATGTGCATGAATACTGTGCATTACTGTGTGCATGAAATGTAGACAAAGTATTGTGTCTGTTTTTCCAATGCACCTTGTAGGTAAAAGAGGTACAAGAAAAACCTGAGATGGGTACAGAATGAGACAGCCACATTGACAGAGACCCTTCAAAGCATTTATTTCCCCCCAACTATAGTCAAGTATCTAATCTCATATATTCTGGCCAAACGGATGCCTTACATTCTGTTTGACAAGAGTCTTTGCCTTGTCACATCATCCCAATGCTTCTGTTCACCAGATTAGCTCACATTATATGTTTTTAGGTAATCGTTAGCCTTCATTTTTAGGTTTTATTCAGGTGGAATTTGCTTTGTACAATGTCGGAGTTTTACATCCACCTTCACCCTCAAAATGAATCAAACTATGCTGATACATGGATGGTTAAATTCACTCTCCCAGCAGCCTGGCATCATCATGTGTATACTTCAGGTGTATAAAAAAACCTGACTTTTTGGCCCCAAAAAGAATCTGTAAAAAGAAAATATATATAATGGTTTTTTAAAAAGTTTAGTATAAACTGTAGTTAATTTATTTTCTCTGTGTAAGATATACACTTGGCCAGACAGCAGTAACGCACATGCTAGTACAAAGCAGCTATGCTGCTAATTTTCAACCAATGTTTTCATTTTTTCAGTTTATGGTAAAAGGCCTGGTTTGTTTTTTTTTATTTTTTTTTATTTTTTTTGCTGGTATCCTTAAAGGACCACTCTAGGCACCCAGATCACTTCAGCTTAATGAAGTGGTCTGGGTACCAGGTCCAGCTAGGATTAACCCATTCTTTTATAAACATAGCAGTTTCAGAGAAACTGCTATGTTTATGAATGGGTTAAGCCTTCCCCCAAAAGCCTCTAGCGGCTGTCTCATTGACAGCCGCTAGAGGCGCTTGCGTGCTTCTCACTGTGATTTTCACAGTGAGTGCACGCCAGCGTCCATAGGAAAGCATTGTGAATGCTTTCCTATGCGACCGGCTTAATGCGCGTGCATTCAGCCGACAGGGCGGAACGGAGGAGGAGAGGAGGAGGAGGAGAGCTCTCCGCCCAGCGCTGGAAAAAGGTAAGTTTTTACCCCTTTCCCCCTTCCAGAGCTCGGCGGGAGGGGGACCCTGAGGGTGGGGGCACTCTCAGGGCACTATAGTGCCAGGAAAATGAGTATGTTTTCCTAGCACTATAGTGGTCCTTTAAAGGAGAGCTGTGATCATATTTTATTACTGAATATAAAAGATTGCTTATAATATAGCCTTCTTTTGTAATGAATATATAAATATTATTTTTAGTGCATCTCTTTGGTTTACTTTTATTCTGTAGGATCATCTTTAGTCATTTGTGGTCAGAATTATAACTTATCTGCAGAGACCATGCACAATTTGGAGCTTTGAAACACCACTTATCCACTTAGAGCAAGCACAATTTAGAGGTGTAAACTTATCCCAAAGTAACTGTTTAGGGTTTGTTAGTTTTTCGTAAATGAAATTTTTATTGTTCAAGGTAAAGTGCATAATTATAGGACACGCAGGTCAACAGAAAAAAATATAGATTGTAGTCACGCAGGACCATTTATGACCAGTATGAGAATAAGCTTGAATACATGTCAGTCATTAAACAACAAAATATGTGCAACAGCATGTAACATGCAAACACTAACATTCCCTTTGAACTATGCTACCTAATGCCATATCTGTTAGTTCTAGACCAACAAGTTCTAAATACTATCTCCGCTCTACCTCTTGACCTATATCTCAATAGACTGGAAGAGGCTATCCTCCCCCATTCAAAGTTGATGTTGTTTGCTTATTATATCGGTATTTAAGAACACACTTTGATTGTGAGCATCATTTTTGTTACATAAGGTGGGCTTCTCACCAAAAGAGGCTTAAAGGAACACTCCACAAAAAAGAAAAAAAAAAAACACTTCAGCTTGCTGAAGTGCCTTATGTATCTGGAGTCTGTCACATAAAGAAAGGAACATTTTAGTTATGAAGAAAGATTAACAAATGTAAATCGCTAGTGTTTAGTAAAACGGCAGAGATATGATGGCACCAATTTAAACTGGAAGAAAGGAGATTTAGTATAATGCAAAGAAAAGGGCCTTTTACAGTAAGAGCAGTAAGGATGTGGAATTATTTGCCTGAAGAGGTGGTTTCATCAGAGTCTGTACAAATGTTTAAACACCAATTGGATAAATACTTGCAAAAACACAATTTTCAGGAATATAATTTTTTATTTGATAGCTTCGTGATCCAAGCAGATATGACTGCCATTTTAGAGTCAATGAGTTTTTTCCTAGTTTGTTGCAAAATTAGAAGCACATCAAACTGTTTTTAGCCTTCTTTTGGATCAACAGCAAAAACAGATGTGAGAATTTTTAATCTTGATGTCTCGCATGTCTCTCTTAAGCTATGTAACTATGTAACATTTGTGACTTTTTAAAGAAATAATCACTTTTATAATTGGGGGCACATACACCTACGTGGCTTTTTTAGTTAGACATTTCCACCCTGCTCATTAGGATATTACATAGCATAGGAGAGCCATTATCACATGCATGCGCACACTCAAGAAGATTGAGTTTATTCCACGGCCCAGACTGAAAGGTGAGGGTTTGCAAAGGTTGCAGAGAAGAGAGCTGCAGCTTTTGCAAGCTGTTTCTAGATATACCCCTAAAGGAAAAACTACAGAAATGCATGCATGTTTTCATTGTGGGTAGACCTACTAAACAATGATTTATTTTAATTTGGGTGTAGCAATGGTTGTTCATAATGGAGTGTTCTTTTAAAGATGGCTTACTGTTAGGAGGAGCACTGAAAATAAATATTAAATTGAATATATGCATTACAAAATCGTGTTACAGAGATACTTTAAAGGATCACTATAGTGTCAGGAAAACAAATTGGTTTTCCTGACACTATAGTACACTGAGGGTGCCCCTACCCTCGGGGTCCCCCTCCCGTGGTGCTGAAGGGGTTAAAATCCCATCAGTTACTCCCCTTCTTCCACCGCCAGGCTCCACTGCCGATGTCAGCTCCCCCGTCTGACGTGAGCGGAATGCGCGGCAGCGCCGCGCACGCATTCAAAGTGCCCATAGGAAAGCATTTTTCAATGTTTTCCTATGGATGCTCTGTGTGATGGAGCCAGAAGACAGGCACTAGAGGCTGGCTTAACCCCAAATGTAAACATAGCAGTTTCTCTGAATGTGCTATGTTTACACCTGCAGGGTCAACCGTAGATGGACCTGGCACCCAGACCACTTCATTGAGTTGAAGTGGTCTGGGTGATTATAGTGTCCCTTTAACTATTTGGAGGTATGCTCATCACATTGCAAAGCCACACATTTGGGGCACCTCTGACAATCAAGAGCGCTGGCTTAGATTATGTGACCCATGTCAATAACAGAAGAGACACTCCCAGCATCTTCCGTCATATACTGATCTAAGATTCTAGGAGTCAAAGTTCAGCTGTAAGATTTCGGTTTTCTTCTCTAGCTAAATTACATTGGTGCCAAAGTAGCTGAAGTACGAATGCTTAGTCTTTCCTTCACCTACGTGGAAAATTAAAATGAAAAGAGAGTGCACAAACTTAAGAACGATCCTAAATGCTGCATAGTACCCAAACAAACATAAAGGCAATACAATTCAGAATAAGCAAAGAATATAGTTCCAATAAATAAAATGATACACAATTATGTAAATACACAAAAGATCTGTTTTACATTATTTTAGGGACTGCCTTCTTTATCGTGGTCTAATGTGCAAATATACAGTACTTTTTATTTTTATTTGTACTTTATAAAAAAATGGAAAGGATGTTTTATATGGATGGAAACTCTACCCAGGGGTATTCCCTTTTGTAAATCTGGTATATATGCTTCTCATACCTGTCAACCAGAGGAAGATTAACCATTAGGTGGCTGTCCAGGGTTATGACAGGGTCCTGTTCACCATGCTATCTGAAAAATGAAGGTGCTCCTAAACCAGTAACTTATCCAGGGATCTGCCTTGATGCATCTTGGTCCTTTTCTGTCAATAACTTTGCCTCAACATGAACTCTTATGTATGGCTTGATGGATGTGAGTGCAAGAGATTGGCCTTTGACTTTATTTTGTATATAGCAGTGATTTTGGGAGAACTTAGCCTTTTTATAACATTATGAGATTCTACCTATTGGTGCCAATCATGCTCTGATTAAAACACTATTCTATTTAGAGATAATACGTTTGACCAAAAAACCCATTGTTCTCTTCTATCTTCTATGTTGTGGTTTAGAGTGGTTGTCCAAGAGGTGGAGGATTGGGGCTGGACAAGATAGAGCTAAAGTCTGTCTTAGGCCATGTGTGACAACACAACATGAATGTATAATTTGCTTCCTATGTTTCTAGGTTTGGCATTACACAAACCTGTATAATCTGTAACTTTTCTTTCACAGAACATTACAAACATATTCCCATGGACATTAAGCAGTGTGTGTCAAACTGGGTCTGTTTCTTTCACCTTTTCTAATTCTCACGTTGAAGGGCCAGTGGAATTGAGGGAGATTGCTGGGAACCTTGAGTGCCTTATTCCTAGAATATGTGGCATGATGTAAAAGGGTCTGTTCCGATTCATATTCTACCATTTTTACCGGTTTTTATCATGCAGGTTACTGCTACAGAATATCTCTCAGGTATAAAAATTTATATCTGGTTGTGAAAATTCCTTTATCTGATTTATAAATCATACAAAAACCATTTATGGACTTGGAGTGTTTTTTGTTTTTGTTTTTTTTGTTTTTTTAGTAAAAAGATATTTTACACTCTTACGGCTGTTGTGTTTTCTTTGACTGACTTCCTTATTGTATAGTAATAGAATAGGAAGTACTTTTTGCGAGTGAACCTATAAGTCTTAATAAGTGGAGTTTTCAGATGGTTGTGGTGTTCTGTTTGAATTGAGTCTTCTATAGCTATCCATGATGACTCAATAGGACTTTAAGTTTCAGAAAATGCTTACATGATTATTCTCAATTCCAAAATCTGGCCAACTCAGCTATAGTCACAGTCTGGCTGTTATAGCCTCAATAATAGAAACATTCTTAATAAAGATAGTTTGATGGAAAAAAAATAATAAAATCACCAAGTGGGTTATTTACTAAAATGAGAATTTCAAATTTAGAACCAAAGTAGTCATGGAGGCATAGAGTTGGATCATTTTTACATTTCTGCTATTATGACTTTTAATTTGAAATCTCACTTTAAAGGCTAAATGTGAATTGTTGGGAATTCAAAGTGAAATTCAAATTTTCTTGTCTTACTGCCATTTAAAAAAAAAATAAAAAAAAATTTAAAAGTGGATTTGTCCCAGAAGTCAAAGGATGACTTGTACATTATATCATGGATTGCTGACTCTTAATCACACGGCTCTAGAGTAGCAAATGATATACATTTCCTGTACACGAAGAGTTAACCTTTGGGACCTTTCAGTGTCCATTCACAAAATATTACAGAGCAAGCTAAATTTGTGTTTTAAGATAATATTTAATCATCATTTTAAATAGCACAAAATACAAAGCAAGAACATATTTAAATATCACCCTCGGTTGTAAAGCTTTATTCTTTTCCATAGAGCGGATCACGCTGCATTAAAACACTTTGGTGATATATTTCTGCCATTATTTAATAA